GTTGGTTCATTGGAAAGAGGACACTTTTATTAACATTTTGGGAAATTTTCATACTCATATTCCAAGAACTGGATTTTATACGAATTTTTAAAAGTTAATCGTCGAAAATTGCAAAATTCGAAAAAATTGTCGATCATTTCAAAAATTTATCTCTCAAGAACTAAGAGTGATTTTTCAAAACGGCTTTTTGCATTAAAAAGAGGATACTTTAATTAATAATTGGTGATATTTCCACAAGGATCTTTCAAGAGATTAATTTTACAGCGAATTTTGAAAGTTATCGATGAAAATTGCATCATCGAAAATTTTATCAAAACTTCAAATATTGTTTTCTCAAAAACTAAAAGCTATTTTTCAAAACAGGTTTGTTCATTAGAAAGAGGACACTTTTATTAACATTTTGGGAAATTTTCATACTCATATTCCAAGAACTGGATTTTATACGAATTTTTAAAACATAATCGAAAAAATTCGAAAAATTGTCGATTATTTCAAAAATTTTTTTCTCAAGAACTAAAAGTGATTTTTCAAAACGACTTGTTGCATTAAAAAGAGGATACTTTAATTAATAATCGAAAGTGATAACAGCGACAGTTCTGTAAGTAATGAATGTGAAGAGAAAAAAACTAGACAAAACTACAACCAGAGATTTTATATATCGTATTGGGATTGTTGCAATTTCTTATGTTTCTATTGTTTATAGATATATGTATATCTACAAACAAGGGTAATAGGTTTTTAATATCCGTTCCACCACTATTTTATATCAAAATTTTAATTAACATTATGTTAACCATTAAAACATGTATATTGGGTTGCATAATTCGTTAATAAAAATTTTTAATTTTAATAATTTTTTTTAATTCTTTTCAAAAATGAATGAAAATTTTTAAAAATTAACTCAACAATGTTCTTTTTTAATAGTCAAAAAGGCCTTTATATTCAACTTTTTAAATTTTGGTTTAAAAACATTATTTACAAGATCGAAAACAGAAATTTAAATGGTATACATAGTATAAATACTAGGAACGAAACGGCATCCAGCTGAAACACCCACGCAGGTGTTAGGCATGCGCCCTGAAAAGCCCTGAAACCTTCAAATAATTTCGAACGGCCGCCGGGCAGATCGCTTTGGTCAATCGCGCGAAATTAACTAAACTCAAACTATTCAAGGTGTTTTTCTTCAGTTAAAAAGTAATAAATGAAGCCTAATTAACATAATTTTTATTAATTTATTAAACATGTGATAACTTCGTTTGAGTGAGAAAGTTAAAAATGTTACCAAATCCTAACAACTTCATTATTTATTCTCTTTTATTGGGTAAGTTTTAAATAACATTTTAGTTAATCAAAATTAAATTTTTTTTTAAATTTATTATTATTTATTAAAAATAAGTTTTATGGCGCCTAAACTCTATAATTAGCCATCTATTTTTACACCCCGTACTTCAACATACAGAAATTTACTCGAGTTGGATATTAATAAACATTAAGACGTTTTTTTTATTACATAAGAAATTAATTTTTACTTACTTTTTCCATTGGCAAAAAGGTTCGGTTTATTTAATCGCTAATTTAAAGTACAATTTAAAAGAAGAAAAAAAAAGTTCAATCGAAACCGGTAATTACCTGTCGAAACTAAAACGATTTTCCGCCTATTAAACGTCTAAATATTTAGGAAGCTGACGAAAAGCCACTTACTTTGCTTTTAAACCGTCCGCTCTCAAAATAAATCGTGAAACAATCCGAAGAGAATTGTATCTATTTGTATATTTAGATTTTAGCGAGGTTGACCTAATCAATGAATACCATGCGATTTGTATTCTCGAAAAAAATTTAAGTTCTAAGAAATTTTAAACTCGATGAGTCCTTGAGATTACATTAAATAGTTTTCAATGATCTTAAAAGGTTTTTTTTTGATATTTTCCTCGATGAAAATCTTGAAGTAATCCCGTAATAACCAGATGCTGTTTTTTTATAATAAAGTAGAAGGTAATCTTGTATGTTTATTTTCTTAAAAACAACTCGTTGCGAGATGTAAACCACGAGCTTAGGTGATTATAATTTTTTTAAAAATAAGCGGATGTTATTTTTAAAAATATTCTTTATGAGCAATTACGTTATATTTTTTTAATTTAGCGGAACCAATGCCTTGTTAAGCCTTTTATAGCGTGACCTCGTTTGACACCGGTAAAATGTCAAGTCTCACGTTGTTCTTCTGGCCTCATTATGCCCTATATCCCGGAGGAACCTTGTAAAATTCACGTTGAACAATTCACAATTTCCATTGTTAGATCTAATTGGTGGCACATTTTTCAAACGCCGCACCTTTTTCTGATGTCGATGCAATAAATAAACGTCCATAATTGTTTATGCAGCAATTTATACTATTACCTTCATGATAAAGACATAATATGCTATTTGGTTTTAAACTACGCAAGCATTTAAATTTTTTTTTTTAAAGTTTGAATTCGAATTACGTCAGGGTTTTAAAAAAGAAACACGCTATCCATCCAATCTGTCGAACCAGGGAGCGGCGATGACGGGGCCGTGTATTAAATCTGCCAGCCGTAACCTACATTCCGTGTAAAATGCTCTTCTAAGCCACGTGAACTAAGGGAGTGTTCATTGGGAACTTAAAATAAAACGATCTCGTTGATTTATGTAATGAGTAATGATTGTACTAAAATATTCCTCAATGTAAAATTAGACTCTATGTTTTGGAATTTTCGAAAAAATAGGGCCCTATCACAGACAGCAACCAAAATGGGTTGATAAAACTCTTGTAAAATCCAATAAAAGAAGTTTTATTTGTTAAGGTGGAATTGGGCTTCGTTTGAGGTCAACATAATCATTCTCTTACATTTTTGAAAATTCAAATTCTCATAAAGAATCTGCCAAACACATCCTTAGAACCTAAGCACGTATAGGGTCTCCGTTCAAGAGCAATTCGTACAGTTTCTATATTTGCAGCTAACATTGCCGCATTCTTTTTGTTGTTCCGCAAACTGTCCTTGTCGTTCCTTCACCAACGAGACCTCCCCCCCACCAACTGTGACAGTTTTGAATGTATGGGTAGAGGATGGTCGAGAGCATTCTCTACCAACATGAGTATTATACAATTGAGAGCAACCTCAATTGAAGGCAGAACTGTTAACCTCAAAACAGAAGATAAATACCTAGGGGTAATACTAGACAAGGCGAAGAAAAAGGCCATTATGACTAACCAGATAAACCACAAATGGGCCTACGTAGCAATAACCAGACCTATGGTCGCCTATGCCTCACTGGTTTGTAATCCAGCGTTTAGCATGTCTTAACCCTTTGTGTACTGACGGTACTTTAAAGTAGTAGAATTTTTAAACACATTTTAAATCATTTTAAAAAGAAATCATTGAGCTTTAATTTAAAATAAGTCTCATTCCTTAATTTCAATAAACACGGCTTCCAGGAATTTTTAAATTAGCATCTTTTTTGACACTTTTAGATTATTCGAAAATGTAAGTTTTGTTTCAACATTTTTTTTTTCAATATTTTTCCAATCCAACCCAACAATTATTATACATCACTTTAAAGAGGAAGCTTTGAGCTTTAATTTAGAATAAGTTTCATTCCTTAATTTCAATAAATACGGCTTCCAGGAATTTTTAAATTAGCATCTTTTTTGACACTTTTAGGTTATACGAAAATGTAAGTTTTGTTTCAACATTTTTTTTCTCAATATTTTTCCAATCCAACCCAACAATTATTATACATCATTTTAAAGAGAAAGCTTTGAGCTTTAATTTAGAATAAGTCTCATTCCTTAATTTCAATAAATACGGCTTCCAGGAATTTTTAAATTAGCATCTTTTTTGACACTTTTAGGTTATACGAAAATGTAAGTTTTGTTTCAACATTTTTTTTCTCAATATTTTTCCAATCCAACCCAACAATTATTATACATCATTTTAAAGAGAAAGCTTTGAGCTTTAATTTAGAATAAGTCTCATTCCTTAATTTCAATAAATACGGCTTCCAGGAATTTTTAAATTAGCATCTTTTTTGACACTTTTAGGTTATACGAAAATGTAAGTTTTGTTTCAACATTTTTTTTCTCAATATTTTTCCAATCCAACCCAACAATTATTATACATCATTTTAAAGAGAAAGCTTTGAGCTTTAATTTAGAATAAGTCTCATTCCTTAATTTCAATAAATACGGCTTCCAGGAATTTTTAAATTAGCATCTTTTTTGACACTTTTAGGTTATACGAAAATGTAAGTTTTGTTTCAACATTTTTTTTCTCAATATTTTTCCAATCCAACCCAACAATTATTATACATCATTTTAAAGAGAAAGCTTTGAGCTTTAATTTAAAGTAAGTTTCATTCCTTAATTACAATAAACACAGCTTCCAGGAATTTTTAAATTAGCATCTTTTTTGACATTTTTAGGTTATACCAAAATGTAAGTTTAATTTCAAAATTTTTTTTCTCCACATTTTTGTGATCCAACACAACCGTTATTATACACCATTTTAAAGAGAAAGCTTTGAGCTTTAATTTAAAGTAAGTTTCATTCCTTAATTTCAATAAATACGGCTTCCAGGAATTATTAAATTAGCATCTTTTTTGACACTTTTAGGTTATACGAAAATGTCAGTTTTATTTCAACATTTTTTTTCTCAATATTTTTCCAATCCAACCCAACAATTATTATACATCATTTTAAAGAAAAAGCATTGAGCTTTAATTTAGCATAAGTCTCATTCCTTAATTTCAATAAATATGGCTTCAAGGAATTTTTAAATTAGCATCGTTTTTGACATTTTTCAGTTATACGAAAATGTCAGTTTTAAGTCAATACTTTTTTTCTCGATATTTTTATAATTCAACACAACGATTATTATACATCGATTTAAACAGAAAACTTTAAGCTTCAATTTAAAATAAGTTTCATTCTGCATTAAGTTTGAGGATAACAGAGATTAATAAAGAGATGTCTTTGTGGACAAGGTGTTGTAATATTGATTAATTTTGGGTTGATATAAACAGTTGAGCCGTAAGCGACCATGGCATAATATGGCACAATCATCTGATTTTAACTGTAAAGCTTCAGCATTATTAGGTGATGTTGTCACTCCATTCTAGATATCTTGCTTCTAGAGCTATAAAGTTTGTCAGACGATGTCATATATATGGGGCTGGGGTGATCAAAGTTTTAATAGTTGTGTTAATTAATTGCAACACCTTATAATCAAATAATTTTTGTCACATACATACCTCACGTCATGACTTCGGAATGTTTCAAGACTGTTTATTACTTAATAATCCAAACATGCTTATACAAGTAAAAATATTTTTAATTTAACCTTCGACGGTAATTCGAAGCCACAAAAAATTCTTGTTACTTTTACTTTTTACTGTAAGCTTTGAATATAATCATCAATTTAACGTTTTCGTACATTTCGGGCATGGTTGTGCGCCATCTGCAGGTGGCCACACAATATGCGGCCTACCAACGTGCGTAACTCGAAAATTTCTGGTGCGTACACCACACGTCCCCGGCATTCTGCGACTCTGTTACCTTCGCCATCCCATCCACGCGTCACGTGCTCCGCACACGTCAACACACGAACGATTCACCTCCCATAACCGGGAAGACCCTTCTTAAACAATTTGGATACGTGACATCGTCATCAACAAAACGAAAATAACAAAATAGAGTTGAGGCATAAAGAAAGAACGTAAAGGATTATGACGTCACGAAAGCCGATGATAGCAAAAGGGTATTGGGGGTATTGGGGGAGGTCGTTTTAAAGAAGGAACATCAATATGATACTTCCTCGGTTTTCTGCGGTCCTATTATGTAGAATTCGCCGTCGTCTTACCCCTTTACTCGGTGGGATTCCGGGAATACTTTCCGAATACCTTCTTTGTATTTGGGGGGTTCTCTTTAGCGAGATCATTTTTTTTCTACGAGAAGGAGGTGAATAAAAGCTCCTTTCGATTTATGTTGCTTTGTTAAAAAATGGGGGTAATTTCCGATAATTTTTGAATAAATTAAGGGCGATTATATATTAATTTCTAGAACTTACATCAATTTTATGTTTCCCTGTCCTGTTTGGACGTTATTCTCTTACCACTCCCACGCTAGGTTTCGCTCCTTATCATTTCAACTTCTTTTCCAAAACTATTTCATTTTTGTCTTATTTTACCTTTCCAATTAATACATATTCCTTATAACGTTTCTTTTTACTTTGAATTATCAATTGGTTTGGGTTAATTTTTGGTAAAAATTGTTTTATAAGGATATTTTAAAATGGTATAGATCGAAGAAGCGTAGTCAAAAGAGGAGACATCCTCGGTGGTATCGAGATATCGTTCGTCGCTTATGATGCCCTGTCACTCATGTGGAACTGATTTCCAATAAATTCATGCATGACTGAGCACATACAGATTCATTTCCTTTTCTTTCTTTGTTTTTTTTAGTCTTTGAGTTTTCAAATAAAAATTATTTAAGGTGTTTAGAAAGTTAAAAGAAATTGTTATAATTACAAGATTTGTAAGATTTGTATCTTTCCCTAGTTTTAAAGATGAATCTGAATATTGAATAATTTTTTCATTGCATTGTTGGTTATATAAGGCGAGTCGTTGCTTCGTTCTCCAAACGTTTTCCAAAAGAAGTTTTTGAAGGGTTGAAACAAATGTTCTGAGCCATATTTTGAAGTCGATTATTGCACTATAACATCGAAATTTGTAGTTATAAAAAAATAATTTTCAATACAATAAATATTAGTTAAATTTGCTTTAAAATGGTTTTTATTTCGATTTAATATCTCAATTCGTTCTTGAGATACGATGTCATAAAGTGCATTTTGACCAATTTAAACTCAATAATCAGAGTTGTATTAAAAAAATCGTATCATCAAGATTAATATAAAAGTAAAAATTATTTTTGGTGTGTTAAAACTAAATTAAATTTGCTATAAAATGGTTTTTATTTCAACTCAATATCTCAATTAGTTTTTGAGATATGATTTTTTCAAAATTGGTATTTTTAAACTTAATCGAATTCGTTAAGTAGTATTTAAAAAAATCGTAACATCGAAACTTGTAGATATAAAACAAAAATTTTCAACACAATAATTGTTAGTTAAATTTGCTTTAAAATGGTTTTTATTTCAACTTAATATCTCAATTCGTTCTTGAGATACGACGTCATAAAGTGCATTTTGACCAATTTAAACTCACTAATCAGAGTTGTATTAAAAAAAATCGTATCATTAAGATTAATATAAAAGTAAAAATTATTTTCGGTGTGTTAAAACTAAATTAAATTTGCTATAAAATGGTTGTTATTTCAATTCAATATCTCAATTCTTTTTTGAGATATGATTTTTTCAAAATTGGTATTTTTAAACTTAATCGAATTCGTTAAGTAGTATTTAAAAAAATCGTAACATCGAAACTTGTAGATATAAAACAAAAATTTTTAACACAATAATTGTTAGTTAAATTTGCTTTAAAATGGTTTTTATTTCAACTTAATATCTCAATTCGTTCTTGAGATACGACGTCATAAAGTGCATTTTGACCAATTTAAACTCAATAATCAGAGTTGTATTAAAAAAATTGTATCATCAAGATTAATAGAAAAGTAAAAATTATTTTTGGTGTGTTAAAATTAAATTAAATTTGCTATAAAATGGTTTTTATTTCAACTTAATATCTCAATTCGTTTTTGAGATATGATTTTTTCAAAATTGGTATTTTTACTCGTAAATTTACCAAAAATTGGTGAATAGTAATACATATATTATAAAAGTTTGAAGGAATAAAGAAATAATTTTCAACACACTTAATGTTGATTAAATTTGCTTTAAAATGTTTTTTGTTTCATGATTATATCTCAATTCGTTATTGAGTTAATGCATTTTAAAGTATATTTTTTATAATAACCTCAATAATCGCAGAATTAAATTACAAAAAATTGTTAAAAATGTGTGATGATGTAAAAATGTGAAAAGGAAACTGAAATGTGATAAGAAATGCTCTTCAGTTTCGCTGGAATGTGGAATACCTTCGTGATTTTATTCTTTCCTGATTATACGCGGGCCTTATTTTGTAATGTCTGCCTGTTGGAATTTGGAATTTATGAAATTTCTAATTTATATATATATGTGTAATCGAATCCCAAATTATTTAAAAATCATTCTTTTCCGATTCCGTTTCGAGTCAACTTGAGAGTTTCTTGTAGAGCCACCTCATTCTAAACGAGAAAGAGAATGTATGCGTCACCTCTTTAGTATACTGCTGCTCTGATAATTATTTGTGGTAATTATGCATATTCACCCCGGACATTTAAATTATACAGGATTTAGAGGCAACGAAACACCTTCGCGTTTTTATATATTCCTGATTAAAGTGTCTGTAGGTAACTTTGTGTGTGGATAAGGAGAGGAGATGGGATTGTTTAGGATAAAAATTATGAGAGTAATAAAGATATGTTGGGCGTGGCATTTCAATGCATCCCTCGTTACCAGAGGAACATAATACGAAGAGGGTTCCAAAGTGAAATTTTCTTTGTAATAATTGGTAAACAAAAAAATAACCAGTTTAATTATTTGTTTAATTTAGCCCAAAAAATAACAAAAATTGTTAAATTGTATTATCTAAAATCGTCGTTTTAAAAGAATTTTCTTGAGTTAATTAAGTATATTGACAAGTTTTTGATTTAATGGTTAAAACCACCGCCCTCTATCGAGTTGAAAATATTGGAAAGGAATAGGATTACATCAAACCACAGAGGTTTTTGGGTTTTAGGGGCGCTAACGTGGTAAATATATATCGGAAATCGTTGTCCAAAAGGCACTACGCGCGCACCAAGCCACGATTGGTCTTCAACAATGTGAAATATTGGAAAAGGTCAGGATAACATAAAATTAGCAAGGAAATTTTAAAATATAATAATTAAAATGACTTAATAATAATTATTTTTTAATAAAACCACATTTTATTTATTATTGGTCTTATTAGTTGAAGAGTTCTTTGTGTGCACGTGGCCTGGGTTAAGTTCCTCTCACAAACCATGTGCGCCTGTGATCTCGTACCTCGATAAAGCTCCCACGCCTACGCAGGGGCTTAGCCCTTAGCCCCGGGTAATCCAGAGTGATAGAAATCCAGGGGCGTCGCGACGCATCATTATCATGGTATCCTGGTATCAACGATAGTGAGATCGTGAAAGCGCCCGAAAGCGTCGAGCTTTTTTCAACCACCTGTTCGATTTCGATTGATTTGTAAAAAAATAAATAAGGTCATTTAAAAAATTGTTTTGATAATTCGCAGACATCAACAAAAAGATTTGCGGTGCGTTTATTTTTTTGTACGAATTTCAAACCGACCCCAAACAAGATAATTTTTGGTATAAATACCATTAAAAAAAAATTAAATGTTTAGTTGAATTTAAATTTATTTTCGAACACCAAAAAGATGTCTTATCCTGCCGAATTTCCGATTTCAAATCAATTATTAGAATACAGAAAAGAACACGAAGTAAGTAATTTTTTTAATTAATTAATTAATTAAATAATCGATTAATTAATAATTAAAAGAATGAAGATAATGGAAATACAACAACCGATGGTGGAAACCTGGCTGTTAACGTAAATACAAGTTTAACAATCGGTAAAAGAGGTCCTGTTTTGCTTGAAGATCTCGATTTTTTTGATATCATGCAACATTTTAATCGCGAAAGGATTCCCGAACGAGTTGTTCACGCAAAAGGAGCTGGTGCTTTCGGCTTTTTTGAAGTGACTCATGATGTTTCTCAATACACCGCGGCTAAGGTTTTTAACGGCATCGGAAAACGTACTCATATAGCTGTTAGATTCTCTCAAGTAACATTCGAGATGGGGTCTCAAGATACAACCCGAGACGTACGCGGATTTGCCATCAAATTTTACACCGAAGATGGTACTTGGGATCTCGTTGGAAATAACACCCCAATATTTTTCATTCAAGATTCGAAACTATTCCCTGATTTAATACATATTTTAAAAAGAAATCCGGTTACTCACGTAAGAGATTGGAATATGTTTTGGGATTTTTTTTCGCTCCGACCCGAATCGATCCACCAATTATTAATTTTTTATTCCGATCGGGGAATCCCAAACGGGTATCGACGCATGAACGGTTATGGTTCGAACACGTTCTCTTTAATTAATAAAGAGGGGGTTTTGGTTTATTGCAAATTCCATTATTTGACTAACCAAGGGATATCAAATTTAGAAGCGAACTCCGCAACATTAATCGCCGGTCAAGATCCCGATTACGCATTAAGAGATCTTTATAATGCTATAGCAACCGGAAATTTTCCAAGTTGGAACTTTTACATTCAAGTTATGACCCAAGAACAAGTACAAACTTGTAATTTTAACCCGTTTGATGTTACTAAAGTTTGGCCTCACTCCAGTTATCCTTTAATCCCGGTCGGGCAACTTCATCTTAATAAAAACCCCTCAAATTATTTCGCCGAAATTGAGCAATTATCGTTTAACCCCGGAAGTTTTGTTCCTGGAATTAATGGTTCTCCCGATAAAGTTCTTCAAGGTCGCTTAATGGCTTACAGCGATACAAGTAGATATCGTTTAGGTGTTAATTACCTACAAATCCCTGTTAATTCCCCAAATCGTATCAACAACTTCAATAGAGATGGGTTTATGACAATTCGAAGTCAAGGGGGGGCTCCAAATTATCACCCAAACAGCTTTGGAGGACCCGAAGAAAGCGTCAGAGCTAAATTACTTTATCCTTCGATGGAATTGAAAGGAATTAGCGGTTTTTACGATTTAGGATTTGATGATAACTTCACCCAACCCAGAATTTTTTATCAAACTGTTTTAGATGATGGCGCAAAAACGAGACTTATTCAGAATATTGTTAATGATTTGAAGAATGCTTCTTCGTTTATACAAGAAAGACAAATTAATGTCTTTAAAAACGTCGATTCAGAGTTCGGTAGAAGAGTTTGTGTGGGGTTAAAAAAATTTTGTGATTTTACCGAAGTCGATTTGTAACAATTTGATTTATAACAAATAAATATGATATAAAAAGCCTAATATTTCTAGGGAACCTTTATTTATTTTACACGTCCTTAAAAAGATGTTATCCTGGTTGGTTGTTGACGTCAATTCGAGTAGAAACTTTAAGCTTTCCTTTACTTTTTTTTATTTTTTATAAAGAAAATTTAATTTAAGACACGAATAGAACTCGAACCAACGAGTTTTGAGGATCAATATGAGACTTTTTTTAGGTCACTTTTATTTATAACGTTATTATAGGACATCCTGGATAAATATTGACTTTTTTTGCTGGGTTCATTGTCTCCGGTGTTTGTTTACCTTTTACTTCCTCAATCCTATACGTTCCTGTTATGTTGTTGACGTCAGTTAGGATGCCCCTGTCTCGTAATAATGTTGTGGTCGTTCTTTTATTATAAAAAATATTTCGCTTTCTTATTTATTATTGAGAAATTCAAAGAAATTTTGGTTCCCATTTAATGTAATTGCATTAAATTGAAAAAAATTATTTCCTTTATATGTATAAATAAATAAAATAACGTAACTCTATTGATTAATTTTATTTTTTCCTTTGATTTTTAATTTACATGGGGGAAACAAGCTCTGAATGACGTCAACAACTTACCAGGATAACATGAAAGGTGGTAGGTTGTACCTGAAATCGCGGTTATAGAATCATTCCTCCATTGAAAGATAGAAGCGCGCCAAAGAGGAACAAAGAGAGTTCGTAAATGAACCTCTTTCAGCGGCATCGGATGCGACAAGAACAAGAAACATGTTTGTTTGTTCGTTTATCGCCTTCTGAGGCCCGAACGGGATGGAATAACAGGATTTTATTGAAACAGGGTAGCATGAAGAAGATGGGGTGAAGTTGCTTTATTGAACTTCCCCTATTTTTAAAAATCTATTTTATTTGAATCTAATTTTGATTTGTTTGTCACTATTTTTTTTGATTTTAACGAAAAATATCCGTTTAAAAGTGGTCATAGCACTTTATTGTGCTATTATTAAATGTCTGAAGACGCACGACTAAACCCGAAACTTTCTAGTTCTAAGTCTAGTGTTAGTTCAATAAATATATACAAAATAACGAAATTCATCAAATTTTTATATTTTCATATTTTACTTGATATTGACGTATCTGAGAGCAACAGTGCAAGAGAACAATATTGTTAAGAATGAAATTTGCTACAACTTTTGTTCTAAAAGTTTTTTTGTAACACTCTCTGTTTCCTGGATGTTACCATCACCAACTAATCAAATAACGAAATTTACCAAATTTTTATATTTTCATATTTTTCTCGATTTTGACGCATCTGAGAGCAACAGTGCAAGAGAACAATATTGTTAAGAATGAAATTTGCTACAACTTTTGTTCTAAAAGTTTTTTTGTAACACTCTCTGTTTCCTGGATGTTACCATCACCAACTAATCAAATAACGAAATTTACCAAATTTTTATATTTTCATATTTTTCTCGATTTTGACGCATCTGAGAGCAACAGTGCAAGAGAACAATATTGTTAAGAATGAAATTTGCTACAACTTTTGTTCTAAAAGTTTTTTTGTAACACTCTCTGTTTCCTGGATGTTACCATCACCAACTAATCAAATAACGAAATTTACCAAATTTTTATATTTTCATATTTTTCTCGATTTTGACGCATCTGAGAGCAACAGTGCAAGAGAACAATATTGTTAAGAATGAAATTTGCTACAACTTTTGTTCTAAAAGTTTTTTTGTAACACTCTCTGTTTCCTGGATGTTACCATCACCAACTAATCAAATAACGAAATTTACCAAATTTTTATATTTTCATATTTTTCTCGATTTTGACGCATCTGAGAGCAACAGTGCAAGAGAACAATATTGTTAAGAATGAAATTTGCTACAACTTTTGTTCTAAAAGTTTTTTTGTAACACTCTCTGTTTCCTGGATGTTACCATCACCAACTAATCAAATAACGAAATTTACCAAATTTTTATATTTTCATATTTTTCTCGATTTTGACGAATCTGAGAGCAACAGTACAAGAGAACAATATTGTTAAGAATAAAATTTGCTACAACTTTTGGTCTAAAAGTTTTTTTGTAACATTCTCTTTTTCCTGGATGTTACCATCACCAACTAATCAAATAACGAAATTCATCAAATTTTTATATTTTCATATTTTTCTCGATATTGACGTATCTGAGAGCAACAGTGCAAGAGAACAATATTGTTAAGAATGAAATTTGCTACAACTTTTGTTCTAAAAGTTGTTTTGTAATATTCTCTGATTCCTGGATGTTACCATCACCAACTAATCAAATAACGCAATTCATCAAATTTTTATATATTCATATTTTTTCGATATTGACGCATCTGAGAGCAACAATGCAAGAGAACAATATTGTTAAGAATGAAATTTGCTACAACTTTTGTTCTAAAAGTTTTTTTGTAACATTCTCTGTTTCCTGGATGTTACCATCACCAACTAGTCAAATAACGAAATTCATCAAATTTTTATATTTTCATATTTTTCTCGGTTTTGACGCATCTGAGAGCAAGAGTGCAAGAGAACAATATTGTTAAGAATGAAATTTGCTACAACTTTTGTTGTAAAAATTTTTTTGTAACATTCTCTGTTTCCTGGATGTTACCATCACCAACTAATCAAATAACGAAATTCATCACATTTTTATATTTTCATATTTTTCTCGATATTGACGCATCTTAGAGCAACAGTGCAAGAGAACAATATTATTAAGAATAAAATTTTCTACAACATTTATTCTAAAAGTTTTTTTGTAACAATCTCTGTTTCCTGGATGTTACCATCACCAACTAACAAAATAACGAAATTCATCAAATTTTTATATTTTTCTCGATATTAACTCATCTGAGAGCAACAGCGCAAGAGAACAATATTGTTAAGAATACAATTTGCTACAACTTTTGTTCTAAAAATTTTTTTGTAACATTCTCTGTTTCCGCATGGCTAAACCCGAATTCTAGTTCAAATTTAACAAATTTAGAAAAGATTGGTTCTAAAATGTTTTTTTTTCTTTGCAGGAATTTTTATGATAAAATGTTTGGATTCCTACGATCCAAAAGATGCATTTGTCCAAGCGTTAGAAAAAGGAGAAAAACGTAAAGCTTGTTCAAAAGTGGGCCTCCCAAGACAACCACCAAATCGATTCAACTCAACATCAAGACTTTATGAATTAAGGCAAATGATGCAAAATCAAATTGTTTTAAAAAAGAAACCAATCGATGCTTATATTATTACTTCAGATGATGAACATCAAGTAATAATTCCATCAAAAAATTTATTTATATATAAAAATTATTTTTTTAGACTCAATATGTTGCACCTTATGATCAACGTTTAAAGTATATATCCGGTTTTAGTGGAAGTTATGGTATAGCTGTAATAACATTAACTAACGCAACGTTATGGACGGATGGGAGATATCATCTCCAAGCGGATGAACAAATTAATTGTGATTGGTTATTGATGAGAATGGGTTATAGTATGGTTCCATCGGTTGGGGAATGGTTGAAAAAAAATTTAAAACCCGGAAATAGAATCGGTGCTGATCCAAAAATAATTTCTGCCGAACTTTGGGGTACATTAAAGTACCAACTTGATGATGTCAACGTTGAAATGATCGAAATCGACCCGAATTTAATCGATGTAATTTGGAAAGACCACGAAGAGGAATTCCAAGAGAAACCTGTTTCGATTTGGGATATTCAATATGCTGGTAATATAAAGAATTACGTTTTATTTTTAAAAAAAATCTGTTGTTTTAGGTCTTAGTTGGACTGAAAAGGTAATTTCAGTTAGAAAAAAAATGCGCGAAAATGGAGCTGATGCAATGGTAATAACAGCTTTAGATGAAATTGCTTGGTTATTAAACATACGGGGAAGAGATGTTCCTTTTAATCCATTCGTAAGAAGTTATGTTATTTTAGCGCAAACTGAAATTTACATGTACGTGAATCAATCGAAATTAATTCGAAATAAGGTCGTAAATTATTTAGACGCAGCAATTGGAAAGGGAAATTTTTCTGTGCAGTAAAAAAAACGCTATTTTTATAAAACCAATTTATTTTTGTGTTATTTTTTAGATTAAAAGATTACGCAGCTTTTTGGGGTGATTTACCAACATTAACGCTGCAATGGCAAACCGTTCTTTTACCATCAAAATGTACATTTACTGAAGGTGTCAGTCAAAAAGTTTATAGTCTTGTCGACAAAAAGAAACGTCTCCCAAAACCATCACCCATCATTTTTTTGAAAGCCGTTAAAAACAACATTGAAAGAGTAGGAATGGCAAAAGCTCATATTAGAGATGCTGCTGCTATGTGTGAATTTATGGCTTATTTTGAAACAAGAGTAAATTTCTATTTGGGCTAAAAAAAGGTAATTAAATGTTTTATTTTTTTTTTTTAATTTAGATGGAAGCTGGGGATGAATGGGATGAACTTCAAGTTGCAAATGAATTAAATCGAATTAGATACGAACAGGTTAATTGTTCGGGAAATAGTTTTCCAACAGTTGTTGCTTTTGGTTCGAATGGAGCTCAACCACATTACGAACCAAGTAAAACAACAAATAAAATTATTGGGTTTAATAGTACCCTTGTGTTAGATTCAGGAGGACAATATTATGGTAATTAAGAATCTACAGCTAAAATTTCCTTTAAAAAAAGTTATTTTTTAGAAGGAACAACAGATGTAACAAGAACAATCCATTTAGGTGTACCAACTGATCAAATGAAAGACGCATATACTCGAGTTTTAATAGGAAATATCGATTATGCGATGTTAACATTCCCATCGAATACAAATCCGAGTGTAATGGATGTTTTAGCAAGAGCATCTCTATGGGAAGCGGGATTGGATTATCTCCATAGTACAGGGCATGGAATTGGAACATTTTCATCATCACATGAAGGTGGTCTTTAATATTAAACAATAAAAATTATAAAAACAAAAATTTTTTAGCGCCAATTTCGATATCGTATCAATCAACTGATGAATATTTATTGAAAGAAGGTTATATTTTTACAAACGAACCTGGTTATTATAATCAATTTGGTGTTCGGTTAGAAAATGTTCTTGAAGTGATTAATAAACGATGGTTACAACAGTTAGATTCTGGAGAGCAATTTCTTGGATTTGAAGTTTTAACCTTGGTCCCATATGAGCCGAAGTTAATTAATCCTTACTTATTATCAGCCCAACAAGTAAATTCATTTTTAATTAAATCCTAATTCTAAATTACTTTATTATTAATTTTTTTTAGATAAGATGGTTAAATGAATATAATGCAAAAATTCGTCGTTTAGTTGGACATGAACTTAAAATAAGAAATAAATCCCAAGCTTTTTATTGGATGATGAGTAAAACTGAGCCAGTGCCTGGAAGTGGGAATAAAAATCTTGCTTTTATTGGATTTATGTGTTTAGTTATAACAAATTTATTAATTACATAAAAAAGCTACATAAAAACTAGGAAATTATTAAAAGCACTGCCATAAAAATGATTATTTTTTAACACTAACACTTTTTTTTCTTTATGTAGATAAAAATCACTCTATTTTGTTATTATTTTTATGTAGATTAATTTTTAAATGTGTTCAAAATGCTATTTAATTCTTAAAAAATACATAAAAGGCCAGTTATTTTATACCACCAAATAAATAAATCAAACCAAAATACTTATTTCATTTACAAAAACTTTCACGTAAAGTTAAATACAATTTCTTAGCTTTTCTAGGTCCAAATCCAGGACATTCACTTAATTGATATTCACTCGCTTTTAAGATTCCTTCCAATGTTTTAAATTTTGTGATTAAAGTCATTGCATCAGTTTTATTTAACGGCTTAATGGTAGTTAAAGCTTGAATTAACTACAAAAAAAAACAATTTTATAATTATTTTCATAAAATAAAAATCTTACTTGTAAATAAGGAGAAGATTCGCTTTGTTCTTTAATATAATCAGCTGGTTTGTTCTCATAAATCTTGTAAGTTTCAATAATTTTACCAGCTTCTTCTGGACTCCAAGCCAATATTAAAGTCATATCAGCTAATATACAAATCCTCGTTAAATTTTTTAATGCAAAATCATAATCTTTTATATCAACCTGCACTAATAACACACGTAATTCAAAAGATTTCCCTAATAATTTTAATCTTTCATGGATATAATCTGGGTTTAAATTGTGGTAACGCAACGAAAGAAATAATGCACAAGTTGTTAATCCCATTTGATAATCAGGAATGATGGCATCATATTCCCAAGGCACATTCGTGATTGATTTTAATATAGGATTACCACGTTGTTTCGGATTAACAAGTAAACAATGCGGATTTATTGTAGATTTAGAAGTTGTTGGTTTTTCGCTTTCACTATTATCGGAGCTGATTACTTGGTTCGCTTTTAATGGTTCATTAATGGGAAAATCGTCTTCAAAATGCTTTGCTAAATCAATTAAAGAATCATCCATGATTAATAATAAATATTTTTAGTATTTGAAACTAAATGACAATTACCTGACGTTTAATTGACAGTTATAGGTTATGTCTTACTTACTAGATGGCGTTTTAGGAAATTATTTTAATTTTTCCTAAAATTAGTTTAATTTTTCATTTAATAAATGATCAACATAATAAATATTATATAAAAAATTATTATTAAAAATAAATTAATTAAAATGAATCATTATTAATAAAAAAAATTTGAAACTCCCGCCTATTTAAAATCATCCCCACTCTTTTTATTCGGCCTGTTGGTTAACGACAGAAGCGTCTCGTCAATCGTAAGTAAATTTTTCGATTTATTTCCTTATTTATCAAGAGAATATAAAAAATTCCTCTTAAATCATAATCATTAACATTCAGTAAGTCGTTGTAAAACGTATTTTTGTAAATTCCTTCCTAGTACAACCCCGATGATTGTAGATAAACTTAATATTTTGAGGTTATATATATTTTGACAGTTCAATTCAATGTGCTGCAATTTGTTTTAGGTTAAAATGGCCCCAAGAAAAGGAAAAGTACAGAAAGAAGAACCCCAAGTTTCATTAGGACCCCAAGTCCGTGAGGGTGAAAATGTATTTGGAGTAGCTCATATTTTTGCAAGTTTTAATGATACATTTGTTCATGTAACCGATTTATCTGGTAGGGAAACTATTTCACGTGTTACCGGTGGAATGAAAGTAAAAGCCGATAGGGATGAAGCTTCTCCTTACGCCGCTATGTTAGCTGCACAGGTAATGCATATTTATGCATATAATAATATTTTTTTATATACATTTATTTTAATTTGTAGGATGTTGCTGAAAAGTGCAAAGCTTTAGGAATCACAGCTTTACACATTAAATTGAGGGCTACCGGTGGAAATAAAACAAAAACTCCCGGACCTGGAGCCCAAAGTGCATTGAGAGCTTTAGCTCGTTCTAACATGAAAATTGGTCGTATTGAAGATGTTACTCCCATTCCATCTGATTCTACACGCAGAAAGGGTGGTCGTCGTGGTAGAAGGTTGTAAATCGTTGTTCCAATTAAGGTTTATATTTTATGTAACTTTTGAATTTAGTTAATATTAATAAACTTTGGTGGAACTAATATTATGTTTTGTTTATTTACTATTTTAATAAGATTGTAAATTAAATTAATAAAAGTGTTTTGATTTGTTTTTATTAAATATAATGAAATAATTAGGTTAGGTTAAAAAATAATTTTTAACGTGGTGCCATCTATGAAAGAATAGTAAAATTAGTTTAGGTTGCCATCTGTCAGTGGTGTGTCAGAAAGGTTAACAGCTGTTTTCTCTGGTTGTGGTAAGGACGGCTAAAGGTCCTCTTTTTTTGTGTTCCGTCTCGTTCGCGGCGCCGAAGTGATGCGGGGCCAGTAGTGGCTAGTAGTCCGCCGCTCGCCATATTTGTTGTCGTCGTCGACGGGGACAGAACGGAGAGTATCCGTTTTAAAACGAGGGAACGTACCCTCGAAGGGGCCACTGGGCGAGGGCGAACGGACGAGCGTATGAAGTGATCGGCTCTGGTATTAGTGCGGAGGAGCCGCGGCCGACGACGACGACCATAAAGGGCCTCCTTTGCGAGAGGGTCAAGCAAGGTGTTTCGCGGCTCCCCTTCTTTCAGGGGGCTCCTTTGTCCGAAAGGTGGCGGGTGCGGGGGGCCTCGGCGCGAGCGGCACGGGCGGCGCGGCCGACGTGCCCGCGGCCCTACTTGACTGGGAGGACGGCGACCGGTTCAGCTTCGAGGATTCGGATCGTTTCGAAGAGGATTCCCTGTGCAGCTGGAGCTCAGAACCCGAAAGCGTTTGCAACAATTGGAGAGGATGGAAGAAACCTGTCAATGCATCGGCCTCCTACACTTTCGGTACCAACGGAAAGAAGACCGTCGACGGTAAGGTTTCTTTGTTCTCAGAACTAACAACATTACGTTTTCTATTCGTTTTCTCAATTTCAAACTTTTAGCTCTGACATGTTTTGGACATCTTCAAAGACAATAAAATTTATTATATTAGAAAAACTTTTATACTTTGTGCATATTTTTTTTTAGATTAGTTACTGCATCAAATCGAAAACACACTTCGTAAATAGTAATTGACCTTAATATCCAGTTAACGCTTATTTGTAGTGAAAAGAGCTGGGGAGAGTCGTCTTTAAACGAAAATTTCAAAGAAACTGAAAATAAATAACTAAAGTTTCTCTGTTCCAACGCATATTGTGTTAACAAATATACTCAAAGTAATTTCGCAACAATATTCGTGTACCACATTCGTCAAATTTGACGATAAGCGGGACACGTGTTGTATAAACATACACTTTCGCATTTGTTTATAAACGGTATCATTGTTTCTTGTTCAGCAAAAACAATTGGATTTGGGTTTCTGGGTCGATTATCATTAACAATTAAAATCTAATTTGTATTCTGCGTAGAAACGATTGTTTGTTTTTGTTTTGTTATGGTTCTTTATTGTGTATTCAATTTATCGTATCCTAATATGAAATTTAAGCCGTTTCTTCCGCTAGGTACAAAGAAGCTCCATCCGGGGTTTTCGCATTTGTGGCCATCGGCTTCGAATTGAACCCGAACCGCTACAGTTGTTTCGCGAGGGCATTACCCCCGCCGCCTCGGGACACGTCTGCCCGCACTTTGACCGCTGTTGACGCCGAAGTCACTACGACACGGGTCCCCTCTCCGAAGGGGGCGAAGACCGAGGACCGCTAATTATAGAAGCCCCTCGTCGTCGTACTCGTAGTAAATAAGCTCCTTGTGGATGGAATCTATTTTTGGGATAAGTTTTGATTGAAAATCAAGTTGTAAAAAAATTAAGAGTTTTGGGAAAGTAATTTAGTGATAGAGTAACTTTGGTTTTCACGCAACTTTTACGAATCGGCCTTGGGGTTTATCAAAAAAAGAGAAATCGATCCTCTCCGGCGAACCGGAGGAGAGAGAGAAACATCTGCTCGTCGGAGGAGAAAACAATGCCGTCGTCGGCCGCGTCCAATCCGACCAGAAAACGTAAACAGACAACAGCTGATGCCCGTTCCAAGGTCAATAGCTCCGGGGAGCAGGTAGAAAGAAGGTGCACCATCGTCCAAGAGTTGTCCAAAGAAACACGTATACTCACAACCAATCTCAACTTTAAGAAAAAGATTTTTTCACCGAGACTGTACAACACAATATATCTTATTTATTACATAGGATAGATAGTACACATTCAACAATCTCTTCCTTAAATGTCTGAAAGTGTGAAATCATGAAATAATCCACAAATTATAGTACATCTTTAACGAAAAGCAAGAATAAATAAAATATTTTATTCCAAATATGTTTAATAAAAGAACTATATAATCAAAAAAGTGACTTCATCATGGTCATAAGTCCTTCTGGTAGTTGATAAGGAACAAAAAATTGATCGGAATTGCATTTTATAGATGTCATGTCTACAAATGAAGTATGGAATTATGCCAGCATAGACTTTAAATACCATGAAGAAGTTTGGAACCATCCAGAAAGAAGTCTAAAATTAGATTACAGAGCAAAAAAAAGCAAGCTTACAAGCAAAAGCCTTTTTTTTATTGCTATCTCATCACCACGACCTACAAGATCTATTATAACTTACGCCTTCCAAAAGTTTAAGCCAGGTCTAGGTCCTTAATGAATCTTAGTATTGCTTCAAAGTCTTATTCCTTTATGTCAGCAGGTTTGAGGCAAATCTTTCCAAAAATTTCGCAACTTCTATAGTCAGTCTGCGACTTGTCAAAGACCAAAACTTCTTTGGTTTTCTTTTGAGACGGAGTTATCTAGCTACCTTTGAGTCCTTCCATGTCTTAATCTGTTTTAAGTGGCTTTTTTGTACTCTCTAGTCGAGTTGGGGTCTAATAAAGGGCGTCCTCTTTCTCCATTTCATTACTCACAATGTCTTTATGACCTGGAATCCACCATATGAGTAACTTCATTATGCCAGGTCAGTTTTCTCCGGTACATTGTTTGACCAGTGCGGATTTCTACAACTAATTTGAGTTGTCTGAACTGTCCGTAATGATGTTTATCGATGCCCCTTTCTATCTCTGCTCAAGGTTCAAAACGGTACAGAAGTTTATGGCAAGAACTTCAGCCTGAAAAATGGTTGTATCCGAGCTTAAGGAATTGTCGTTCATTCTTTCCTGCTTCTAAACAAGACCTTATATGGCTGGTCGAAATTATATTTTGTCGTATAAGATTGGTTTTTATTTGAATCAAGTGGATTAGGTGTTTATCCCTGAGGATTTCGAGATGAGATCAGATTTCTTTCTAAAATTATCAAAATATAGCTCACTTCAGCAAAAAATTGCAGCTAGAATTAAAGAGAAATTATATTAGATAGGCTGACATAAAAAATAATTTAAGGATAATATAAAAATTTCCTCAATTCATGAGTTTATACTCTAAGAAGATCTGAAAATTAAAGTAAACTTGTTTTTAACTTTTATTTTTTTCTTCAAATTAATATAAAATCAAATCTGTATATGTTTTTACTATAAATGTCACATAAATGGTATATAAGAACTAGAAAAATATAAATATGTATTATTAATTATTTTAAAAGATTAACAAATATTCAGATTTGCATCTTTTCCTTTCTCAAGAATTTCACAAGCAAGTGAATCATGATAATCTTGATAAACGGTGTGACCAGTATAAGTCAATTTCGGGCTAATAAAACCAAACAGCTTTCTAGCACTTGGTCTCGGTGGGAAAACGGGCATAGTTTTTATTCCTAATTGTCTTCGGCAAGAATTCAAAAGTTCATTTTCAATATTACCCTGATTAGCCCTGTTTCCACATTCCGTCTGTTTTTTTCGTAGGGTATGTCCATAATCGACTTGGTATACACTCGAACATCTGTTCGAGTACATTTCTTTGACTTTATGTTCAGCTGCTTTCATGGAACTTTTTGATTGAACTTGTTCTGCCAAAGATTTGATAACCAACCAATTTCCGAATGGTGGTAACATCGTTGTAAATCGATCTTCCTTGGGCTTAAACTTCTTTGTATTACCTAATTTATCTCTATAGTCAGAATGGTAAATTGTTCTGTACGTTTGTGCCATTCAAAAGTGATTATTATTTCTAATACGTCATGTTTGATTATTTTGTGACATTAAAAGGAAATGAATCAAGATGTTGTAGACTGATTATTTTCTTTTTCATTTGAATTTTTGGTTCTAAAGACGATGTCTCTTGCGTGTGTAGGTGAATTGTCGCTGTTACGCTTATAAACGCGGAAAACACAAAGGCAAACGCACCAGTTCCGCCACGGATTGTTATTAATAGAGTCATCCACCGTTGCGCTATCCTTCCTGTTGGGGACGTGTTTGTCCCCTTATTTAAAATAACCCGGTTCTTTATCAATTTAATGATAATTTAACTAACGGTTTTCAAATTAAAAAGTTTCACTTTAACACACATCGATAGACTTTCTCCGTTCTAGTAAAAGTTTAAATGAAACTGTGATTCATTAAATTAGTTTATATAAACTTGTTTATAAGTAATATTTTTTTTAGACTTACCATCATTAACAGAGCTCGCCGCAAAATGCGTTGCTTCTCATATTCCCTTCGAATTGGTAGAACACGTGTATCCCCCTGTTCCGGAACAATTACAGCTGAGGATAGCTTTTTGGAGCTTTCCGGACAACGAGGAAGATATTCGATTATATTCTTGTCTTGCTAACGGATCGGCTGATGAATTTGCAAGAGGAGAACTTCAACATCGGAGTCAATGTGTTAAAGATCCTTTGCAAATAGGTGAGTTTGGATATTATAGATTTTTGTTGTATTAAATTTAAGAAAATTATTTTATTATCAAATTGTTGTTAGTTTGCCCTACATATTCACCAAACCGTAACTAATTACTCATTGTCTAACCGTATTACAATAAATTCTTTTGCACAACGAGCGAGGAAAGTCGCACTTTCTCTAAACCGAGGTTGTTTGCAATTTATTTCTGGTTTTAGCCTCCTTAAGTATAATTCAAACTGTTTCTTTTTTTAATTTTTTTCTTAGGTTTCCATTTAAGTGCAACAGTTATAGGACAACCAAATCGCACTGGCGATCATAATGTAGCGGTAACATTCGACAGACGACGAATATCATCTTGTAATTGCACGTGTAATTCATCTGCTTATTGGTGCTCACATGTTGTAGCTGTTTGTCTGACAAGGATACATTGGGTTTGTGTATTTTATTGAAAACGTTTCCGTGAAGTATTTATTTTAAATGTTTTTAGCCTCATCTGGTGACTTTAAGAGCCCCTGTGTCTGAGTCGTTATCGCGATTACATCGGGATCAACTACAAAAGTTTGCCCAGTATCTTATCAGCGAGCTACCCCAACAAATCCTGCCGACTGCGCAGCGATTATTAGACGAACTTCTTGGTTCACAACCTTCGGTTATTAATTCTGTGTGTGGTGCTCCTGATCCAACCGCTGGGGCGTCGATCAGCGATCAAACTTCGTGGTATTTAGATGTTAAAGCGTTACACGGGAACATTAAGAAGATTTTGATTAAATTTTGTGTACCAGCACCGATAGTTTTTAGGTAAAAAGAGAGCCAAATATTTTTTTGAGTTATTTTATGGTTTGTTTTCAGTGATGTTAATTATTTAAGTACAACAGCCCCGCCAGCTGCTGCAGAATGGACTTCTTTATTGCGGCCACTTCGCGGACGAGAACCCGAAGGGATGTGGAATTTGTTGAGTATCGTAAGAGAAATGTTCAAGAGAAACGATCGAAATGCTATACCATTATTGGAGATAATCACCAAAGAATGTATGGCTTGCGAGCAGGTAATTTTTTTTTATAAACATTTCTTTTTGTTTAAGTATTCATTTTATGTTTTGAAATTTAGATTTTACTTTGGTGGTTCAACACAAAAGTAGCTTTATTAAACGGAGGATCTGGTTATGGAGGAAGCGGCGGGGGGAAACATAATAACGTAAACAGTAATACACATGCTTCGCAACACGCTTGTTCATCGCTTTGCGATGAAGTCGTCGTTCTTTGGAGATTAGCTGCGCTAAACCCGGGTTTATCCCCGCAAGAACGCGATATGCTCCATAGCCAATTTACCACGTGGCATCTAAAGATAAACGAAAAAGTGAGTAAGTGTCGCAATTCGACTTCATCGCAATCAAATGGGAACAAAAATGGAAGTTTGAAAACGGATTTAGAAGTGTTTACTGGATTTAAACCGGCCATTGAGGCATGTTATTTAGATTGGGATGATTACCCAATGCCAGGGATAACTTACACTGAAGATAGTAATCCAATGTATCACTGTCCGTTTACGTGTTTTAGACACAATGGGGATTCAAAAACTGAAACAACAACACAAGTTAATTCAAGTAAAGCAGTTTTGAATTGTGAGCATTTGCATAGTTCCTCAATACGCGCTTTTAGCCACCACCACCATAATAATATGAATAATATCAACAAAACTCGGCCGCATTTTGATTATATCGACGTTGATTTATTAAGAATTCCTCCTGATTTGGATTATAGAAACTGTCGAGGAGTTGGATTATCAAGAGATGGAAATAGATCGAGTGTTAGTAGTGAGGGTTTTTGTGAAAACGAAGATGAAATGAGGTTGTGTAAAAGACGAGGTTTTTTGTTGAATTCTTTAGATCGGGATTCTCAAGAAGGAAATGGAAGTGATTCAGGTAGCACTAGCAGCAGTAGCAATCAAGATACAGCGACTTCTTTACAACAATCGAGTAGTGTCAGTGAAGATAGCGACTCGAAGAATGTACCGAGCGCTTCGAGTGTTGTTAAGAAAAACGAAGAATGTGAAGAAGGAATTATAGTGCAGAATTTTTCAAGGCGAGCTTCAAAAGACGAATCTAGTTCTTCAAATTCTGGGGATGAATACAACGTTTATTATTACAATGCCAAAGATGTTAGTGGATCGAGTGAGCAACAAAAAGATTTAAAAACGGCGGAAGATTCCGAGAATAAAACTATTTTTGGAGGTATTCGAAAATCTGACGATCCTTGGGATGTTCTTTTTGCGCGCGCAGAAGGTTTACACGCTCACGGACATAGCAGAGAAGCATGTACTTTGGCTGTGAAATTAGCTGAAGAATTATTAGCAAATCCGCCGGATTTAATGATTGATATTCCACATATTCCTAAGAAAAAAGGGCGAAAGCAAGTAAATCCAGCTTCGCATCAGTTGAGTTGTTTGGCATCGGCCACTCTTTCAAAGTGCGCATTTTTGTGTTCCGTTTTATCTGAAAACCCAGAGCATTATCACATAGCTTTCCGCATGGGTATGTTTGGTTTAGAAATGGCTCGACCTCCAGCCAGTACAAAACCGTTAGAGGTGAAATTAGCTAATCAAGAAAGCGACTTGGTTAATTTATTAAAAAAGATTCCTCTTGGATATCGAGAAATGGATATTATTCGGGAAAAAGCTCAACAATTAAAAGAAGGAAGCTTGAAATCTCGTGGCGAAGCTCTCCTTCCGATTATGTTGGCCAGTTTTATTTTTGATGCTTTGGTAATGCCATCTTTTGTCGGTCGCGATCGAAATCGGGTACTGAATCTTCGATTAGGAACAGACGAACCGCTCGGATTTGAAGCGGCCGTTGCTGCCCTTGGATTAAAAGCCAACGTTTCCGAAGCAGATCATCCGTTACTATGCGAAGGTACGAGACGACAAAGAGGTGATTTGGCAATTACTTTGTTGGTGTTTTACAAAGACGACGCGTGGAAAATCGCACGGATTATGGAGAGATTATTGGATAAGGACGTTCATCAATTATTAAAAACACCTATCATAAGCTCTTATTATACAAGTAATCCTCCAGTGAGGCGACAAGTTTATAACTTTCATCGTGAAGATAATGATAAAGTTATTCCGTTGAACTCATTTATTCCTCCAACTGAAATGATGTCGCACGATATAAGTAACAGTCGTCCACATAGTTCTACAAGTGCGGAAGTTGAACAAGGCATTGCTGCACTTTCATTAGGTCCTACAACATCAACAGTTCCAACACAAACGCCAAGCGTTCAAATAACACGGACAAAAGAATCCCGTTATAAAGGTAAAAGAGCATATCCTTCGATTCCAAATCAACCCTCAGAAGCGGGAGCTCACTTTATGTTTGAACTCGCAAAAACTGTCTTAACTAAAGCGGGTGGTAATAGTAGCACTTCTTTATTCACCACAACAACAAGTAGTCAAAATCATCACGGACCAAACCGAGCCCTACACATGTGCGCTTTCCAACTGGGACTTTACGCTTTGGGATTACATAATTGCGTTAGTCCTAATTGGTTAAGTAGAACTTATTCGTCACATGTATCTTGGATTACTGGTCAAGCAGTCGAAATTGGAGCTGCGGCGATTAGTTTTTTGATTGATACTTGGGAAGGTCATTTAACACCACCTGAAGCAGCGAATATGGCTGACAGGGCTTCACGTGGAAGCGACCCAAATACTGTTAGGGCAGCAGCGGAGTTAGCGTTGTCTTGTTTGCCGCACGCTCACGCGTTAAATCCTAACGAAATAACCAGAGCTATTTTACAGTGCAAAGAACAAAGTGATATTATGCTAGAACATGCTTGTTTGACGGTTGAGAATGCAGCGAAAGGTGGTGGGGTGTATCCAGAAGTTTTATTCCAAGTTGCGAAATATTGGTATGAATTATACGTCCATCATACACCGGGAGGTGATCAAATTATTGAAAATGACGTTCCACATGATCCTTTGTTAGATGGCCATGGTCAACTTGTTTTGATTGAACCTGGACCGGAAATTTTACCTCCACAAAACCCAACTCCGGTTGTTGTCACGACAGCTCCACCTCAACCGTATCAACACCCGGCTATAACAACTTTAGCTGCACCTATTGGGGTTTCAATGCCATACGCTGTAGCTCCGTATAGTTTTACCGTTCAGGGCATCCACCCTCAGCTGAGCTATGGAGGCCCTATACACCCCCACGCTGTTCAGCTCCATCAACCAGGTCACGTTCAAATGTATCTTTCCCCACCACAATATCAATATCCACCCCATACAGCTAATCAACAATTTTCAAATTCTCCCCAACAAAACTATCCACCCATTCAAACCAATTTACCACCATCAATTCAAAACGGATCCCCTCAATATCAACAACCCAATTACGGCCCACCGCCAACGCAAGCGACTTCGTTTCAAAATATCCCACCGAATCCGACTACTCCAATGCAGTATTACGGAACGGCGGTCACGATTGCTCAATCAGCGAACATGAGATCAGCACCGGTTTATCCACTATCGTTGCCACCAGGCGGTGGAAATATCGTCCAGCAACCCCCAGCACAAGCGGCGGTTCGCCAACCACACAGGCAACAACAATTTACTCAAATTCAACTTAGGTATTTATTATCCGCTTATGGAGCGGGGATGTTGGCTATGGAAACACTTTCAAGAAGGGTCCATGATGATAGACCTCAAGCGAAATATGCAAGAAATCCACCATATGGAGAAGATGTTAAGTGGTTATTAAGGATTTCTAGACATTTAGGTAAGGATGATTTTATAATTGGGTTAAAAAATGTTCTACTTTGATTGTTGGTTTTATAATTTATAAATAAAATTTATTAATTTTCAATTTAACTAAAACTAGAAACGGTGAGCAGATTAAACAATCTCTTTATTTTTTGTCTTGATTCATACCTTCCATGGTATCAGCTATGATATGATATTCATTGCAATTTTAATTCACAACAATGTGTTGTCTTGGATATTTTTGGGTTGATATGATTTTAATTGCAATTTTCACACTATAGGAGATATATAGGAGCAATGAAATTCGTATAAGTGAACATTTACCCAACAAAGTTGTTTTGACAGGTGTTGCAAGAAACACGAGGCGCCCATTGCTTATATTTATCAAACATACTGTTGATTTATAAATCAAATAGATAATATGAAGTAATAAATAAAATTCATGAATCGGTGCTTGTAAAATTATCACTTATGCCCGGTTGCACCGTTTACATAGTTGAGCATAACTTAGTTAAGCAGTTCTTATAGTTAAGAAGAACTTAAATTTTATGTCTATTGCACCGACACAACATATACAATGCTCAACTAAGTAACGTTTAAGTATCGGTTATTTGGCAACAACGCCATAAAATTTAGTTATTTTTATAAATTTTAGTAATTTTTTAGGGTTTTTCGTGTTGTCAAGTTAATGTCAGTTGACATTTGACATATACCATGTAAATAACATTTCTACTATTCGTATCATTCCCAACTTCGCGAATATTCGAAGAGTGTTGAGTTATATTGTGAGTTATAAGGACGTTTATAANTGGTGTATCAAGTAATTCACCTTCTAGGTCATCATCACTTGACTCAAAATTTACTAAAGGCACATCTTCACTTGACGACGAAATATCGGACATGATTATTTATACTCTGATTTATACTAGGTACTTAAGAACGTGTTAACAACAATTACAGATTAATAAAGCGGATATTGTGTTTACAAATATAAATCGATTGTGTCGCCCTCTCGACGTGCTACGTTTATTACCAACAAACTCGCAAAGTATCCACTGCGCATGACAGTACACAATCCGTCAACAATTTTTCGAAAGTCAGCAAATTGTAAAAACTATACCCAACCAGTACCCAACTAATCCTAAATTCTGATCGAACACACGACTGGTAGTCGAAAAAGTCAGAATTCGGGATTTATTTACTGCTCGAACACCGTTACCATACTGCGCATGCGTCTCTCAATTTGCAGATTGGTTTTGCCGCTGCTCGAACAAACCTATTATTTATAAATAAAATTTATTAATTTTCAAGTTAACTAAAACTAGAAACGGTAAGCAGATTAAACAATCTCTTTATTTTTTGTCTTGATTCATACCTTCCATGGTATCAGCTATGATATGATATTCATTGCAATTTTAATTCACAATGGGTCGCAATAACGTCTTGGATATTTTTGGGTTGATACGATTTTAATTGCAATTTTCACACTATAGGAGACGTTACACATGTGCAATGAAATTCGTATAAATGAACATTTACCCAACAAAGTTGTTTTGACAGGTGTTGCAAGAAACACGAGGCGCCCTTTGCTTATATTTATCAAACAGACTGTTGATTTATAAATCAAATAGATAATATGAAGTAATAAATAAAATTCATGAATCGGTGCTTGTAAAATTATCACTTAATGTAAGGATTTAGGTTGATAGGAAGTTTTATTTGGAAATAGTCTTATTAAAATGTGCGCTTTTGAAGTAGAACATTAATAAAACTGGATGATTTTAGGTGTTACTGAATCGTTGAGAAATTAATTGCTTAAAATCATCCCAATAGTTTTTTGGAGTTATATTTATATATTTTTTTATTTTTCAAAAATAGGTACACAATATCTTCAACAATACTGTTTATGCGCAGTAAATTCATTAGTGAGTCCTTTCGTTTTATACGATGTGGCAATAGAATCAGCCCAATACTTAGGAAGACATAATCCTGGTATGGTAATGCAACACTTAAGAACGACGCTACTGTCTCTCATACAAAAGTGCCAGCAAATGTACATACAGTGCATGCACCAAAAACTCTATCATTTAACCTCAGCTGACTACGAAGATTTCGTGAGCATAGTTTGCGCGGCAAGAGCAGCGTTCCAAATCACACCCGAAGGGAGCACACAATTTAAAGAGTGGCTCCAATCCATCAAACGATCGAAATCTTGCAAAAAGGATCTTTGGACGCAAATTAACACCGCTCTTCAAGCGAATGGTAAATGACAAAGGACGGAGGCGGTCTCGATACCGACCAGCGAGAGCATGGACATATCGCAGCAACCGCAAGTCTGCACGTTTCCACACGCAATCATCGCACCGCCAATTCCGACTTATATCGCCGCGGAACATCTTCATTTTTCGGTGGTTACCGTAAATGAACAACAACAACAAATTCAACAACAACAACAAATTCAACAGCAACAACAAATTCAACAGCAACAACAAATTCAACAACAACAAATTCAACAGCAACAACAGATTCAACAACAACAACAAATTCAGCAACATCAACAGATTCAGCAACAACAACAAATTCAACAACAGCAACAGATTCAGCAACAACAAATTCAACAACAGCAACAAATGAACGATTACCAATCGATAAATTAGGTTAAGAACGAATGGGCGAGTTAGATAAGTCTAATTTAAATATATAAAGTTAAAAAAAAATATTAACAAAAAAAAAATTGATAAGAAAGGAAATAAAAAAAGAAAAAAAAAAATAAGAAGAAGCCCCTTTTTTTCTGGGGGCAGCTCAGGTCTCTTTACCATCTTTGCCTTCATTACGACACAGAAACATATTCAATGGTCGCTCGCAGTTTTCATTATAGAGAGAGAAAGAGGGGATGATGGCGGACGGTGAGTTGTGAGTTAAAATAAAGTTGTGTTTGCGGTGAAAAAGAGAAAAAAATTCAAAAAAAAAAAATGAACCGCGATTGTGGACGGATTTTGATGAGTCGTGAGTGAGTTGTTTTATTCATTTTCAGATTAAATTAAAGAAATATATAAAAAAAAGTTTTTTCGAGCGTGCATTCGTGAAAAATAAACTTTTTTTTGGTACGAACGCGTTTTCACCTTCACCTTCAAGTAGTTAGTTTTTAAAAGAAAAAATTTACAGTTATTAAATTTAGTTTAAAAGAAAATAATGAAATGTTTTATTTTTAATAATTAAAAAAAAGTGAATTAGTTAATTGAATTTCTCATTATCTTAAAAATTTCGGAATGAAGTTGTTAGATTGTTTATTTCCTTTTTATTTTTCGGTTTTATCTAAATATAAATAGTTATTTTAATAAAATTGAGTAATTGTATATAGATTAATCATGAATTATTTTATCATTGCTCATTGTAACCCATCTATGAGGTATATTTGAAAAATTGATGTTTTCAATATTAAACTTAACTAAAATAAAATTATATAATTCATAAAATTATATTTAGATAAAACTGAATGATAAAGTTATTTTGTGTAAAAACGCGATTAAAAAACTAATTAATTAATTTTAGCTAAAATTTATGATTGCGTTTTTTCACTTTTAAACTTAAATAAATAGTTTTATTTCAATTATATAATTTTTTAATGAATTTCTAACGTAAAATGAATAATGTCCATTTCATATCGTCATCGTTTAATTTCAATTTATTAAAATTTTTCCGTTTTTTGATGTATAATTAATTAAATATCGTATGTATCATAAAGTTAAAAGAAAAAAAAAACACTTAGAATTAAGTCTTTATACATACACGTTTTGTCTCATGAGCATTAATTAATTGCATAACATTTCTCAAATTGATCTCAGTAATTAAAATAGAATCAATTAATTAATTAAAAAAAAATTGTTTATTCACGACACAAAAAAATCATTATTAAAAAAAATGTATTTTTCTCTTATCAATTATGTAATAAACAATTTTGAGGTTGATCTGTAAATAGTAAACAATAATAATTTGATTTTAATTGAAACTTTCTTTACCTATAAAATTTAATATAATTTTTTTTGTGTTGTGAATTTTGAGAATAGAAAGCGAATCAAGAATTGAAAGTTCTGCTTAGTTCGAAACGTTGTAGTAGAGAATAAAGAATGAAGTTAAAGCAACATAATCAGGTTAATTGAACTTTGTGCCTTTACTATTTAAAAAAAAGAAAAACGTTAAAAAAAATGAAATAAAAAAGAAAAAAAATCTGGTTATATTGGTCAAAATTGTCTGTACAGTATTCGAATGAACTAAGCAGAACATTTTCCTTTTATGCAACAAAATAAGAAGAAGAAATAAAAAAAAAGTTAAAGTAAGGGTGAAAATGATCATCATCGTCGAGTTGGTCTTTTTCGATGTCTCTATAGTTATTAAAAAAAATGGAAATTGTTAATTTCTTTATTATTTAATTTTTCGATCCTCTTTAGTTCTTCCTTTCGATCCGTTTAAATTCCCCTTTGTCTTAAATCATTATTTTTTTTAACGTAGTTTTTCGCGTCGTCTTTATTTTTCGAGGTATCCGCGTCGTAGTTTCGTATATATAGGTATTAAATGTAACGACGTAATTTCTTATAATGAAAATACAATTTCAAATCAAATTTTTTATTGATTTTTATTTTATTTATAGATACTTTAATCATTTATTTATGTAGGTGTTTAGGAAACGTCAAAGATGGCAGCGAAAACCTCTTTAACTAAGATGTATTGTAGTTTAGACGAAGAAGAGGCTTATTATTTCTGGTAATATATAATTATTGTTTAAATATTAATTGTTATTGATGATACTTAATGATATATTTTTTATGTTACTTGCAGCTACTGAACAAATATGAGTTCAGCGTTTTTCGTCGATAAATATTGAATCATAGAAATTAGTAAGCTCACCAACAAGATAAGTGAATAAATAAACAACTTTGTAGTTTATATAGTACACATTTCGAGGTTGGGAGGGACACCGAAACTTTATCGAATATACTTCGGGGAATCCCATAGCCATCCAAGGTCGCTTGAAGGTCACAACTCAAGTTAACTCTTGATTATTTAGGCGCAAGAGAATAAATGCATCAAATTGATTGAGGAAATACGTTGATAATGAGAAGTTTGTATTTGTATCCATTTTAGTAATTAAGTTCATATTTTATCAATAAACTTACTGATTATTACTTACTTCATTTCCTCCTTGCAACATTAAATCAATCTATTTCGTAACAACACGTTTTAGTTTAAAATTCCTGTTAAGTTATAAAATATTGAATTAAAGTTGATAAGATATAAAATTAGGTATAATGTATTCATTTAAACTTTTTTTACATGTTTAGTCGATTTAAAAGTTTCGATGAAAAGGTTTTCATAAATTATTTATTAATTGAGTGAGTAATGTTATAAGAGATGGATGAGCGAAATAATTGTCCCGAGTAAGTTTAAGTTTATTTGTTGAATTGATTATATGTTTTTTTTAATTCGTAGTTGGTTAAAAGAAAATTTTACAAAAGAAGAAGCTTTAAATTTTTTGAAAAATCCCGAAAAGCCTCTCTATTCATTTCTAATTACAACCTCAAAATTATTTCCCTGGTTAACATTATCGATTAAATTGGAGCAATCAATAAAACAATACAAAATTTACAAAGATTCCGAAGATTTTTATTATTTTTTTGAAACTAAGAAATTCGATGATTTGGAGGATTTAATCAAAAATTATTCAGGTAACCCCTTTTTATCCTTTTTTATCACATTTTAATTTAATTTTTATTAGAAAATAATTGGAATGAAATACTTAACCCGAACGAAAAAATAAAAGATGAAAAGATATATTGCCAACCTCAAATCATTTCGGTTAAGACAGAAAGTAAGTTTAAATTAAAGTTGTTTTTTTTAACACTAAAAAAGTTTTAATAGGTGAAAGTGAAGATGTTAACAAACCCATTCCTAAAGGAATTCCTAAAAATAATGAATTAAACGGTGTGTTAAAAAAGAAATTACTTGAATTGAAAGAAAAAAATGAAACTTACGAACAAAGTGATGATGAATCAATTATTGAGGAATATTGTTCAACAAATTTATTAGAAAACATTAAAAAAATGAAGAGAGAAGAAGCCGAAGAATATTTATCAAACAAAGAAGTTTATTCTTATTTAATTAGAATATCAGAACAAACCGGGAATAAATGTTTAACTTTAAAAACAGAAAATGCTATACAACATTTTGTTATTTATTCGCACAAGGAACAATTTTACATTAATTACGGAGAAATGTTTTCTTCAGTAACTGACCTCATTGAAACGTATTCAAAAAATAACTGGAAAAAGTTATTAAATTCAAACTGCGATATTTACGACTCACAAAATAATGAATATGATAGTGCAGGTAAGTTTCTATTTTATTTAATTAAAATAAAACATTAATTTGCAATATTTTATAACAGACCATTACCAATCATTGGAAGATTGCACTCAAAAGTAAGATTCTTTTAATTTCGTTTTAACATCTTTTTTAATAATTATTTTATGCTTAGTTACATGAAAACATTCACACGAGAAGAAGCCGAAAAGTACTTATCAAAATTAAGCGTTTTTAGTTATTTAGTAAGACCATCAAGAAATGGCGACCTTTCGTTAAGTGTAAAACTAAAACACCGCATTTACCACTACTTAATCCATAAAAAGAAAAATTATTATTACATTTACGAATGGTCGTTATTTCCAACCATATCTTCATTAATAAAAACGTACGCTCAAAATGATTTTGAAGATTTATTTAATACACAACCGAAAGGGGAAGTAACCGAAGAGATTCATCTTGCGAGGTTTTAATTATTTTATTTAATAAATTTATTTATAAAATGATACGATTTCTTTAAGGACTTGTAAAGAGATGACAAAAATGGAATTAATGAAAAAACCTTATTACAGTTATGTTCTTCGCGATTCATCGAATTTTAGAGGTTGTAAATGTCTTTCGGTAAAATTTCCCGAAAATGTTCTCCATTATATCATATTTTCAAGCGAAAAGGGGTTTTATATTTATAAATATGATCATTATACTACCATTGAGGAATTAATTGAGAACTATTCAAGTAAGTATTTTAAATATAGTTGATATCGCTTAATTGGGATATTAATCTTAATGGAACGTAAAAGTTACGTAAAAGAGTGCTAAATGTGAAAATTAAATATAACGATTTTTTGATGAATATTGAAATGATCATAATAAGAGTAAAAAATGCTTTAATTTGATACCAAACATGATATATTTGGGTTAAAAATTAAAAAAGTTAGGTAAAAAACTGTCAAATGTCAAAATTAAATATAACGATTTTTTGATAAATGTTGAAACAATCTTAATAAGAGTCAAAAATCCTTCAATTTGATACCAAACATGATATATTTGGGTTAAAAATTAAAAAAGTTATGTAAAAAAACTGTCAAATGTCAAAATTAAGTATAAGAATTTTTTGATAAATATTGAAATGATCTTAAGATTCAAAAATGCTTTAATTTGATACCAAACATGATATATTTGGGTTAAAAATTAAAAAAGTTAGGTAAAAAAACTGTCAAATGTCAAAATTAAATATAACGATTTTTTGATAAATATTGAAATGATCTTAAGATTCAAAAATGCTTTAATTTGATACCAAACATGATATATTTGGGTTAAAAATTAAAAAGNAGTTAACTCCCATGATAACTGGTTATTTTAGTGAGGGGGAGCAGTTAAAAGATATTCCATATAGAGAAGTAGTGGGAAGTCTTATGTACATAGCTACATGTACAAGACCTGATATAGCTTTTGCAACATCATTTTTAAGTAGAAATGTAAACACACCTAAAAAGAGTGACTGGGAAGCTGCAAAAAGAGTTTTGAGATATTTGAAGGAAACTAAAAGTTATTGTATATTGTACAAGAAGGAGAGTGGTGATGTGGTTGATGGATTTTCTGATTCAGATTGGGCTGGTGATAAATCGGATCGAAAGAGTACCAGTGGAGTAGTAGTGTTTTATGGAACTAATATCGTTACTTGGAACAGTCGTAAACAAAGTTGTGTGGCATTATCAACAGCAGAGGCAGAGTTTGTGGCAGCATCAAATGCAGCATAGGAAATTATTTTTGTGAAGGGACTATTAAAAGACTTTAAAGTAAGAACGAGAGACAATAATTTAATGATTGATAATCAAAGTGCTTTAAGTTGAATTAAAAATTCTGAAAATTCAAAGAGAACAAAACACATTGATATAAAGTTTAATATTATTAAAGATTTAGTGTTGAAGAAAGAAATAATAGTTAAATATGTTAATACTGAAGAAAATGTTGCTGATGGTTTTACAAAACCTTTATGTAAAGAAAAATTTCAGAACTTTGTAAAAAGACTTTTAATTGACAATTCAATTTTATGTTAAATAAATTTAAAAAAAAAATGAATTGAGGGGGAGTGTTAGAAAAAGTAAAGGTTGGTACTAAAAAGAGAGAGAGAAAAAGAGAGAGACGCGACAGNTTAGAAACTGTCAAATGTCAAAATTAAATATAACAATTTTTTGATAAATATTGAAATGATCTTAAGATTCAAAAATGCTTTAATTTGATACCAAACATGATATATTTGGGTTAAAAATTAAAACAGTTAGGTAAAAAAACTGTCAAATGTCAAAATTAAATATAAGATTTTTTTGATAAATATTGAAATAATCTTAATAAGCTTAAAGAATGCTTTAATTTGATACCAAGCATGATATATTTCGGTTAAAAATTAAAAAAGTTATGCAATAAACTGTCAAATGTCAAAATTAAATATAACGATTTTTTGATAAATGTTGAAACGATCTTAATAAGATTCAGAAATCCTTTAATTTGATACCAAACACGATATGTTTACGTTAAAAAATAAAAAAGTTAGGTTATAAACTGTCAAATGTCAAATAATCCCCATTTTTTTTTTGCTAAAAATGAAGATATCTTGATAACGGTTGGAGATAAATAAGTCGAGTTTGGGTTCATTTTAAAGGATTTACAATTTTCTATCCATTAATGTTAAAAAAAATACAGCTTTATAACAAAAAAAATCTGAATCGATTCTTATTAAGAAACAAATACGAGTTTATCTGACTAATCCAAAAAATTATTCGGTAATTCGGCATCAGAATTCACCAAAGTTGATGATTTATTATTTTACTATAACTTTAAAAGTAACGTTATTATAAATGTTCCAATTAATCGAAATCGATTATAACAACGATTTATTGATTTTGAAATGAAATTATATTTTAATAGAAAATCAATGGGCGAAATTGCTTGAAATGAACAAATTAGATAAACGTAAGTTATTAATTTATTTTTATTAATAATCGATAGTAATAAAAAAAATTTTTTTTAGGAGGAAGTATCGAAAAATTGGCGTTCGTCTCTAAAACAAAACTTAAATCCGGAAAAGATTACGTTATGAATAAATTGTATTGTATGCGATATTTTGAGAAATAAATAAAAATTAAAAAGTTTTCAACAAAGAAGAGCCCAACCCAAAGAAGAACCCTTTAAATTATAACTTTCAAGTTCCAACTAAATCCTTTGTATTCTTCTCAGGAAAAACCTTCCTGTATACTTGAAGAAATCCCAGATAACCGTGGCCTTAGCACAAGAAGCTCGATGGTGGTGGGAGACATCAAGAGTTCTTGCCACACGTCGACATTCGAACGTTTTTCCTACGCGCGGTCGGTTTACTTGTGACTCGAAAACTTTATCACATTTTATGCGTTAGCCGTTTTTAAAGTTTCAAAACAAACAGTGAATCTTTATTTGATTGGATTATTTTGTGCTTTACTTACAAACGTTATTTGTTCCCTTCAAAGTTCTGGTTAACGTTTGTTTACTTGAAATCAACAGGTAAATAGCACTTAAATAAATAGTATTTAAGTAAATAGAAATTCAATTGAAAAGGGATTTTTTAAGTGGAGAAACTTTATTGTCTCTTTATTTTCGTTAATGGAATGTGTGACATCCTGATTTCACCGGGGAGGTTAATTTTTTTTTATTATAATTTAAGTGGGACAGATTCGTTTCCTTCGCGACACGGTTTCTCATAACTTTAACATTTTTAATTGTCCCACCGATTTTAATCAAGATTTCTTTTTGAATGAAAAGTAAAATTTTAATTTATTTTAAACCGAAATTTCCCATCATGATTTAAAATAATTTATTTCATCAAATTAGAAGAAACTAATTTAATCAGAAAGGATATAAATTTCCATTTATTCAATCTAATATTGCACCACTCATCTACATTTAACACAATTTCCTTCAAATGTACCGCAATTTAAAATTTGATGTGGTTGAATTTAAAGTTAATTAATTTGAGACTTTTTGTTAAAAGTTTATGGGATATATTTAAAGGTCAAAAACGTTCTAAATTTAAAACCAATGCGAATGTAAATCGATACTGTTTGGACATATTGTGGGCATGTGGCGAACGTTGCTCACCAATGACGTACTAATTTCAAAAACGGATGCGGTGGGTGTGAAAATTGAGCTGTATTTTACAAAATTAATCGCTTTTTTGTATCAAAATTTTTCTTTATAAAATCAAATTTAAATCCTTATCAAAATTTTTTTCGTACTTAATCTGTTTTAGTTTGGGTTTTAATCGATTTGATTTAATCGTAAATTTTATTTGTTTACCCGATATCAAATGAATCGATTAATTATAGTGGCGAAAGGTTCTGTGAATAAATTTTGGTGTTATAACATGATCATGTCAAGGTAAAACTTTAATCTCTATGTGCTTAAATATAAATATACCTGACAAGGTTAAAACTTAAGTTTTAAAAAAAATTCTTTTAAATTTTACTTTTCATGTAATAAACAATTAAATCCTTTGTTATTTTTTCTTTTATTTCTATTGCTCTTTGCACGTGCACACATCCATTTTCTCCTTTTTAAATTGCCCACCTGGAGACGATCCTCTCAGTCTCAGCATCTTTTACAACTCTGTTTTTAAACCGTTTTTACAACAGCACATTCCTTATAAAACAAAGAAACGTTTTGTTGTTTACGTTTTATCAAAATGCTTATCCTTGCATACTTTAAAGGCCTGTTATTGTGAATTAGAAAGGAGAATTATGAATTCTAAATTGCTTCGATTTTAATTATGTATTTTTGTTTCAGAATTAAAAAAATGTAGCATTTTCGGAGAAAATCTTTTCGGTTATGGCGAGCGTTCAAATATCATCCCCATGCATAAACGGGGGTGTAAAAGTGCTTTCCACTCAGGATACGATGCCATTTACGACGACAAAAGGTCTTTTGAACGGGCCGGGACAAAATAACTGCTTCTTGAACAGTGCTGTACAGGTCAGTGAAACCATAAATCTTTTACTTCGGGTTAATAGCTTTTTTCGTTAACAAATTTGATATATTTTAATTAATTAATTAACCTAAATGAATCAACAAAACGTATAAACCAAGAACAAGAAGTTTCCTTCCATTCTAGAATCATTTCCGGTCTTTCTTATACCTTCTTGTTACCATACAATAATGCTAATGGTTTCGAGGGGACACATTTAGGGTGGTCTCGAAACGATTTAAATTTACGACGCCACGTAGAAAACAAGAGGAAAGAACGTTCTAGTTGAATCTTTAGGTTTCTCCAAGAAACCCGTCCAAGTACTCGAAGGTCGGGTTCTCGTGGTCTCGGCCATCGATGCTCATTAACCATGACGTATGTATTGCGTCTAGTCGCATGACGAAGATTATTCAAAACGAACTAAAAATTTGCAAAATCAAGAATCTCTTTATCTCGAAGTACCAGCAATATATAGTAGTTGACTCCTCCCGCGGACATTCAACTCTTCAAGCTGTAGTTTTTGCCTCCTCTCTTAGAGGTGAGGTGAGCACACGTGCGTATTTAAAGAGCCACAACTGGAAAGAGTTCAATTTAATGCCTAGCGGGAATCATCATGTTAAAATATTAACCAGAAAAACAGGATTCTAAAGATATTAGAATTTTAATCGTTGATGACCTCTTAACACCTAAACCAAAAAGAAAGTTTTATTTCTTTGATGATCAATTTTTTTTCTGTCTCACTTTACAATCTTGGTGGTGATTTGAAACAATCTTCTATTGTGGGAGCTGGAGGTGGTTTTTTCCCAGGAGGAGGTCGGTTCACATGGACAAGAAGAAGAAGTGATACGCCTCGACGCGCGTTCCCACATCGTCTAATCCAATTCAGGTTCAAGATAAACCTAATTTAAATTGTGTTTAATATTATTACCAACCACGAAGGGGTAAACACCGTGGTAACTATATGATTAATTAATTTAAAGTATTAAGACGTATATTTTCTTAAAGGGATGTTATTTTTAAATTTTAACTTTGAGAGAGCAATTAAAGTTCCGATCGGTTAATGTTAGTGTTAAAAGCCTCTTGAAAAGATTTTCTATTCCTGTTATTATTTTTTTCTTTCTGTTCTTTTAACTCGCCTGGTTTTTAACAGCACACGAGAACTGAACCAATATAAATTCCTTGGTAATAGTCGAAGCATTTAACATTTACAACACGTACAATTCTCAAAGGAAAATTTGTAAAGTATATACAGGTTGTAACAAAAGTAATTTTTTTTCATAAGTTTTAAAATCTATTTTAATGTGGTTTAATCATTTTAATGTAAAAATACAACATTTCCATTTTAAAGCACTGCGACTAATTGTTAATGCGCTATGGTACATAACGAATAACGCAACGACCTGGAAACGTGAAATCGAACGTTATTGCTCATCATTACGATACCCTTATATTCTGGGACGATGCCTTCCATTATCTTTTTAACAGCGCAATTTCATGCAGACATCTATATCACATCTAGACAAAAGAACCTTGCCCGAGCCATTTTATCGAGCAGTTTCTAATTTGTAATTTGTAAAGTACCTCTATTTGCTCTCTGAACCTCAGACCTGAGTCGACAACTAAACCTAAGTTTCATCTAAGTCAATATACTGTCTTATGGCATTCAACTCTGGGGTTGTACCAATTAAAGTAGTCGAAATATGAAGGTGCTGAAATGCTACATGGTAGACACGAGGCTTGCAAGATTTGGTCTTGCACATTGTTTTGCATAGTAAACCATAATGTACTAAGTGACGTACGGCAATTTGAGTTTTACAATCACTAATAAGTTCAGCATGTTAGAGAAAGTAAAGGTTGGTACTAAGAAGAGGGAGAGAAAAAGAGGGAGACGTGACAGTTAGAGAAAGAAGTTCTTGTTATAAGTTTTGTATGTGTATTCAGTTAAATATTAAATAAAGTAATAATACGAAAAGTGGAGTTATTTTAAATAACCTTTAATACAGCATTGATTAGATTCAGGGTCATGATCAAATTGGGTGTGAAGATTTAACCGTTAGCTTTCTACTATTTCATTATCAGCCAACTTTGGTATTATCAAACCTGCAATGTGAAAATGATGATTTTGGCTTTATTCTCGGCAGCCTATTATCACAAAAGGAAGTCCAGAAATGTATTCTTTATTATCTTTTCTGGCGGGAGCTACTTTAAAGGCACTTTNCTATTAAAAGACTTTAAAGTAAGAACGAGAGACAATAATTTAATGATTGATAATCAAAGTGCTTTAAGTTTAATTAAAAATTCTGAAAATTCAAAGAGAACAAAACACATTGATATAAAGTTTAATTTTATTAAAGATTTAGTGTTGAAGAAAGAAATAATAGTTAAATATGTTAATACTGAAGAAAATGTTGCTGATGGTTTTACAAAACCTTTATGTAAAGAAAAATTTCAGAACTTTGTAAAAAGACTTTTAATTGACAATTCAATTTTATGTTAAATAAATTTAAAAAAAAAATATGAATTGAGGGGCAGTGTTAGAGAACGTAAAGGTTGGTACTAAGAAGAGGGAGAGAAAAAGAGGGAGACGTGACAGTTAGAGAAAGAAGTTCTTGTTATAAGTTTTGTATGTGTATTCAGTTAAATATTAAATAAAGTAATAATACGAAAAGTGGAGTTATTTTAAATAACCTTTAATACAGCATTGATTAGATTCAGGGTCATGATCAAATTGGGTGTGAAGATTTAACCGTTAGCTTTCTACTATTTCATTATCAGCCAACTTTGGTATTATCAAACCTGCAATGTGAAAATGATGATTTTGGCTTTATTCTCGGCAGCCTATTATCACAGAAGGAAGTCCAGAAATGTATTCTTTATTATCTTTTCTGGCGGGAGCTACTTTAAAGGCACTTTTAGAATTCTTTTTTTCTGCATTCTCTCTACGATTCTAGATTATTTGCTTTTGTTCAAGGTTTAACTTCCATTATACTTTGAAACTTTGAAAATTAAACGTTTTAGAAAGGATTTCAAAGATTTTCAGAACGAAACTTGATAGTTTAAGTTTTTGATAAAAATCAACGAATCTTTCCCAACAAAAAAGAAATAATAAAAATCCCACCATAATTAGAGGTGTTTCACTTTTCAAGTTGTTGCATAAATTTTTCGGTTGAAACGTTCAATAAGTGACAGTGTTTTAGCTACTTTGTAAAATCTTCCCACACTCAACATAAACAACAAAAAGACCCCAGATCCTTACTAAAATTTAATTTTGCGTACATCCGTTACACATAGTAGTAATTTTCAAGGTGTTAATTTACCAAGATTAAATTGAAGGAAAACTGTATTAGATAATCAAGTCGATATTATGTAAGAAACATAAATATTTATAAGAAAAGAATAGTTCTTTTCAATGGGTTTATACCTGGAGGAGTTACTAAGGTACCGGAGACGGAGAAAGAGACTGGTTTGTGTTAAAAATAAAAAAATAATCTGTTTAAGAATGCAGACAGTCTTGAACTTTAAATGGATACTCTTAAAGTTTTTTTATTAAAAGTCGTAAAATAGTTATTTTTGGATTTCTTTTTTGCTTTTTTTTAAGTAATAAATAATTTTAATAACTTTATCGTATCTCCTTGAATATATGCAACCAATCATGCAGTTAAGTGGAAGACTTGTTAAAATAGCTGGTTGTAAACTTATTTATTACAAAAACTAAAACGGTAAAATGTAAAATCGTCGATTTTAACAGTATGAGTCATCAACGAAGAAAACAGACGGTTTCCTTTATTTTAAATGAGGTAGACACCGTGAAGTCAGAAAGAAGAAGGTGGAAGGGCACCTGTTACTGGTGTCATGGGTCAGCGATTACGGGAAGTCGGTGAGATGTGCGTTTTCAAGGATCTGGGAAAAGAAGGAAGGAAGGAAACGAACGGATATACGAGTTATAAATTTGTATTATAAATTATTATTATAGAAGTACATTTTTGGGATGTTGATAATTTAAAATTTATTAACATCTATAGAAGATTTTTCACTCAGAAAGGACGGGATGTGTACATTATCTTAGGGATTTCCGACTATTAATAATAATCAAATAACAGGAAGAAGATGTTGTCTGGCGAAGATTTAGAATTTAGATAAATCATGGAAGGAAGAAATTATCTTTTTCCATTTGAAATTGTTTCAGCAATACTTGTATTAAAACGTAGAAGTGAAAGTGTGTAGGTTGACTATTAAACCATAGCTTGAGTATTTAAAGTCCTTGTAACTCTCGTGGGTGATGTAAACTAACAACAACCAGTAGTATCGTTTTGCTAATACCATTGTCCATTATGATACCCTAACATCTTTCTTCAATAGCATATTGTTCTTGAAATTATAATGTTGGTCTTTGTTCCAATCTTTGTATCAATTTTGGCATCAACATCACCAAAATCTTTTCAATTGAAATAGTTTTCTCTTGTAAAGATGACTTTTTTTTCCAAGAAAACGTGCCAAAAGAAGGAAGATGTTTGTAGCTGGAGGAACGAAGAAGGAAGGTGTAGTGCGGACTCCCCCGGTTGACTCAAACGTTGGAATCGCCCGAGACGACGTCGACGACGGTTCCCCGCCTCCAACTGTTTTCTTTAACGACATGGCGGACACGAGCCGACCCGTGCCCATTTGGCGCGGTTCTAAACCGGTTTATCGAGAGGTGATTTAAGACTACAACCATCGCAGAAACACTACCGAACGAACGGCTATACCCAGACACCTTGAAACTGTTCTTTATTTTTTTTCTCACCTTTTAGAATCTTCTTATTTTACCATTTTTTTGTTTTCATCAAGTAGGCACGTGTCTTGATTTAAATAAATACTGGGAATTTCATATAACTCGCAATATATGAATGCTGTAATCATGTACTATTATCCACTTGCACTGTCCTACATAAAATATAACATAGCTTAATAGTACAGGCTTTGGGTAGTTTTGCAAAAGAAAAGTTTTGCTTGGAAAAGGTGACGTTCTTATGATAACTGAGTTTTCGTCTTTTTTCTCTCTTCTTTCTGGTTCTAGGTCTAGTGTTAGTTCTAGATTTACACTAGCACTGTTACTATGGAAAACTAACACTATACCTAGAACTAGAATCATTTGGGTTTAGCCGCACGTCTCTAAAGACGGCTAAACCCAAATGATTCTAGTTCTAGGTATAGTGTTAGTTCTAGTGTTAGTCTAGTTTTATTTGTTATTCACCGCTAGATTGTTGTATATTTTTATTGAGCTATTATACAAATTATATTGATGTGTTGTATTTTATGGACAAAGTAAGTAGTAAGTGGGACAAATAAGTATATTGCAGCTTAAATGAAATTCACAGTATATTGTAGTTAATAATTAAAATATTACTTGATCAATAACTTGGAATAAAATTTGCTCATTTTGTTGTGGTTTTCAACCATATGTATAGCATTTCTGACTCATATAATTGAGTTGGGTTTAAGGCACCTGCTTTAGCTCAATTTTTTAGGGAACACCTGCCCTTCAAATAAACAACAGGTTGCAAAGCTATCGAACGCAGTTTTGAATCTCAGCTGCCTCAAATTCTCGAAGCTCCAAAATTTGTTTTATACCTTTTCTTAGTTCGCATTAATAATTAATTTATTTTTATATCCCTTTTTCGTTCCGCTTGGTTTCTTCCCTGCTCGTATATAAAAATCCCTCTTCTCCTTCTCCTCCTCTTCGCGATCATTGTTCCAGCAATGGCTGCCCGGACTCCAGTTGCTTTTCGCTCTCTCACCTGGTAGCCGAGTGCCGAACGAGCTCTCTCCCTCCATCGATATAATATTATTCGCGTTAAATCCTAAATACAGTGATTTTGCAAAATGTGCATCTAGTGACGGGTTTGACAATTAAAAAATGACGAAAGGAAAAGGACATAGACCTAAAGCTCTCTTTCAAATATCGAAGGTAAAAAAATCGCATTTAGACCGTAACATTTTGATGTAAACACGTAGTAAGTGAGTAGAGTAAAGAGTTAGACGGTTGCCTATGTTTACATTTTGGCGCCATCGCTTCGGTGTTGAGGTAAAGTTAAAGGAGTAACTGTAAACTTTCACGGCGGCGTAGCGTCGATGTTATTCCCGGTTATAAACAAACCTCGAAATATTGGCCGATATATTTGGGTCGACCTACTTTTCTGTTTTCAAAACGGGAAATTTAAGTCGTTTAAAATTTCCTTCAAAAAAGAAATAACAAAGCTTTTCTTAGGATTGTACAAAGTTCAATGCGTTTGCGCAGAAAGAACGAGACCTTTAAAGAGACGCTGAGTTAATCTTGGCTTATATATCTTTCTAATTTTTTTTTCACATTCACACGGTTTTATTTCTTAACTTAAACACCTCTATTTCTAATTGTTACTATGAACAGTTAGAAATAATCAGGTTTTCACCACGAATATTTGCGGTTACAAATTTGATATCTTTGATACTTCCGGAATTTTCTTTTCTAAGAGATCATATTTAGAGAATTCCAATGTTATTCAATGAAGTTGCAAAATGATTCAAGGAGAAACCCATTTGGTTTGTTTACGTTGTCACGCCAAGGTTGTAGAGATGCAAATTGTAAATTCTTCTATACACACCTGTGTTAATATATGTTAAATTATATTAATATACAGCTCGTCATCTTTGTAGTAATTACGACCTTTACCAATGTTATGGAATGCTTAAAATTACATCAATTAAGTTTGTTTATTTAATAATTAGCTCGTTAAAACTACTTCCTAGGATAACACATGGTTAAAAGAATCAAATTTTGTCCAACTCGCGTGCTACACCATCTGTTCGCCAGAAGACGTGTAATAATCGTAAGCTTCTCTTTCATTACAGGTGCTATGGCATCTGGATATATTTCGCAGAAGCTTCCGGGATTTATCAGGACACGCTTGTATGGCTGAATCTTGCATATTCTGCGCCTTAAAGGTAAGTAAATCTTACAAATGAAGTTGTGTGTTTATGATTTTGGGTTTTAAATTAGTTGATCAACTCAAATACTCAACATGTGTTTAGATCGACTTAGAATATACGATTTCTTTGGCCAACTGTAGTTTTATAGTTGATTTATGCACAAAGCTATAGCCGAGAGCAACTCGGTTCAACCAATCGGGAATGAGGACAACCGGTTTGCCGCAGTCTGTTCTCCTTACGAAACTCACGTTTACTATTACTAGATGTCACTGGAGGTCAGCCTCTTTTACTTCAAAGATTTTACTTTAACGATTTTACTTTAAAGATTCAACTTTAAAGATTTTGCTTTAAAGATTTTCTACACACATCCATAAAACACATAATTAATAAAATTGATACGTTACGTACGACTCAATATGCATATTTAAATTGTGATTATAAATCTACCTCTTCAACGTTCCCTCGTTCGATGGAGAGGTCAAAACAAAGCGTCTTCTCTACACAACGTAAAACGTGATGTGCATTTACCGCCACTTTTGGTCAAGGACAACAACTGAACGCCATCTTTGTAAACTCCCGATAGTTTTTAACAAGAAATTTAGATAAAGAAAAAAATGTTTTATTTCCGTTTAATTCCGGACACTTTCAATCTCTTTGGAAAGGTAAAAAATTCTGCCTTCCTGTGTGGAAGTGGAAAAGAGTGATATAATTATTCCAGGAAGTAACGTATCCGTTCGTTTGATGTGGAGGAAATTATTATGTAATTTAAACAATTTTATGTATTGTATGAAAAAGTAAATAATCAAAAAAAATTTATTAGTGTTACCAACCAAAAAACTAATAATACTGATAAATAGGTGGAAACTAAATAGAGTTAGTTAATAGTGATGCAACCCAAGTGTTGTATCTTGTTGATAGGCAGATACTTCATGGTAGTGGAAGCAACCACATCGCAGCGATCTAAAGAAACCAGCAATTTTGAAAAGAAAAATGAAGCCCCAACAGAACCCAATCACCAATATACTAGATGCCTGGCGGATTATGTGAGGTTTGTGTGACTTCAGGTGTCAGCATAAAAAAAGTCAATTCTGAAAAGTCTGAAGACTTTGTTTGAAGCAAATATAACCTCTTGCCGAATATACTGTAAGCTGCATAACACCTTATCAAAAAACCTTTCATCAGAAGCTGGTACCATAAAACAATTACAAATAGATGACTCACGGACTTCTAAAAGATAATTGAAGGGGTCGAGAGAAAAAAGTGCCAAGCATCATGTTTGTTGTTTTGAGATATAGCAAGTTGAAAGTTTGGCTAAATCCATAAATAACATTTTAGTGCAGACAACAAACCAAAGTTTTTTTATACAAAGGTCATGTATCTATATACCGTTAAAAGTGAAGNAGCCATTTTATCGAGCAGTTTCTAATTTGTAATTTGTAAAGTACCTCTATTTGCTCTCTGAACCTCAGACCTGAGTCGACAACTAAACCTAAGTTTCATCTAAGTCAATATACTGTCTTATGGCATTCAACTCTGGGGTTGTACCATTGAGGTCTTATATATAATCTAGAGTGCGTATGCTATTGTCCCCACCACGCCTAAAATGAAGCCAGAAAGGTTGCCATGTTAGATGTACCAACTTAGCGGGAAATTCGAAAGTCTGATATACTTATGCAAGAATTTACATTATTATAAACTGGAAAGACAGAAAATAATAACCAAAACAAAACATTAATTTTTTATTGATAAATAATTATTAATTATATGATATTTTAAAAGAACTTAATAATTTTTAGCCATAACCCTTATAATTAACATAAACTAAGAAGAAAATATTTAAAGCAATTCCGATTGATCACGTTAACCTTTGCCTATAAATAATTGTTAGTTTATTTAAAAAAAACTTTACTTCAATAATTGAAGTAAGAATAATTGAAGACCTCGGTACAAGAAGGGAGTAGCTCCATTTATCAAGACAAGGAGTTGCTCCTTTCTTACACCAAGGTCTTTAATTGTTAATTCCAAGTCAAGTAATCAGAAACATTTTATGGACTGTTGTAAATAATCGTCCTACCAAATTATAAAAAAACATATGTGAAACGAAAAGAATTCGAAAACTATCAACAAAAAACAAATTTTAATAAAAATAACAATACGTTTATGAGAATTGTGAGGTTATAATTGTAGGTATAATAGAGACTTAAACCTATAGCTAAGTTCAGGTCGGTACATCCAACATGTCTGACTTTCTGATTACCCCCACCACCACCACATACGCTCTCTAGATTATATATAAGACCTCAATGGGTTGTACCAATTAAAGTAGTCGAAATATGAAGGTGCTGAAATGCTACATGGTAGACACGAGGCTTGCAAGATTTGGTCTTGCACATTGTTTTGCATAGTAAACCATAATGTACTAAGTGACGTACGGCAATTTGAGTTTTACAATCACTAATAAGTTCAGCATGTTAGAGAAAGTAAAGGTTGGTACTAAGAAGAGGGAGAGAAAAAGAGGGAGACGTGACAGTTAGAGAAAGAAGTTCTTGTTATAAGTTTTGTATGTGTATTCAGTTAAATATTAAATAAAGTAATAATACGAAAAGTGGAGTTATTTTAAATAACCTTTAATAGGTTATGGGCCCAGATGCCGCAAAAGAATGAATAGATTAAATACGAGAAGTTACGTGGTCATGACGTGGCTCGACATCATGACTCAAGTAAATTTACCTATGTTGTCATCCGAATCCTTTGGAAATTGGAGATTCAGAGTAAAGTGTATTTTGGAGGAGAAGATGGTAGATAAAGTTTTATATAAGGACATTAATGAGGAAACTGATGAAACAAAAAAGGCAGATCTAAAAACAAAAGATGTGAAAGCTAAATCAACAATAGTCCAATGTATACTGACAAACATATAGATTTAATTAAAGATTGTTTAACAGCAAAGGATATGATGAAAATTTTACAAGATATTTTTGAGAGAAAAAGTGTTGTATCAAAATTACATTTAATGAGAAAACTTGTATCATTAAAACAAGGAAACTTAAATATGGAGGAACATTTTCACAAATTTGATACGATTATAAGGGAAATAGAGAACTTGGGCACAAAAATGGACGAAAGTGACAAGGTATGTCATCTTTTACTTACGATTAATGAGAAATACAACCATGTGATTACGGCTATTGAAACTATAACAACGCAAGTGACTATGGACTTTGTGAAGTCAAGATTATTGGATGAAGAGTTAAAAGACGGAAATAAAGAGGATCATATTAATAGGGAAGTAGCTTTTAATTCAAGGACTATGAAATGTTTTAGATGCAAAAGACCTGGACATAAAGCGATAAATTGTAGAGTTAGACTTGAAAAAGGAGAAACAACTGATAAAGAATCTAATCAAAATTATAGAGGAAGAGGAAGACCAGGAAATTATCAAAGAGGTCGAGGTCGAGGATACCATGGTAATAGTGCACAAACGGAGAAAGAAATTTCATTTGTTGCTTTTAATTGTCTTGAAAATTATGGAAATACTTCGTTTATTGTTGATTCAGGAGCTACAAATCATCTAGTAAGTAATAAATTAATGTCCAATATTGAAAACATGAACAAATTAAAGAATGAAGTATCAGTAACAATTGCCGATGGTAAAATTTTAAAAGGAACACACAAAGGTATTATTAGAGCAGATTATAAAGGAAAAAGTATTAAAATCGAGGTTATGGTAGTGGATGGTTTATATCAAAACTTATTATCAGTAAGAAGTTTAACAAAGAAAGGATTTTTGGTATCATTCATGGAAAATAAGGTTAAAATCGAGAAAGATAAT